CATAAGTACTCGGATAATCTAACAATTCCTCAGAAAGTTTTTTAGCAATGTGGCAATATAATTTTCATTGCTTTCGTAATCAAAGTAAACAAAATTTTCCAAATCTAATTGGTCACTCAATAAATTTAATTTTTTGATTGTCTCAACTAACTCAGTGACAATCAAACTAATTTCGCTCTCCAACCTTACTTCGAGTTCCAAATTCATGAGTTCTCCCTTACAAAAATGGGTTTAGGGTTTACAAAATGCATCTTTTATAGAACTTGATGAGAACAAATGCCAAACATATTTCACATAGCTTGTAGCGTCCAACACATTTCTTGGACGCTACAAGCTCAAGGGATGAATGTCAGCCCTGGCGTCGAGGTTTGCATATTGCATATCAATGGTTTTGCAAATTTTGGTGTCAATTTTTATTTTGTAACGTTTCACATACAATCCTATTGATAACTATGACCATAATAAAATAAAATTGCTTCGAAGTTCTTCAATCCAGTATATAATACAAAATCATTTATAATGAAATAAAAAATATATCATGACATCAAATGATAAACATTCAATAACATTGGAACGATTCAGAAAAGATTAACATGACTATATTTAAGGATGACACACAAATGGTGAATCGAATCTTCCTCACAAGTCCAAAACTTGGTAAGGATTCAATAGATCTTTTATAGGTACATCGAATGTTAAACTATATGCTCGCCGACCTTAACAATAGCCAAACAACATAATCTTTGAGAGTACTCCAACATGTTGAGAACTAAAGTACAAATTGTCGAAATGGGAAGAGTAAACGATATCGTAGAATAATAGAAAGTTGTGTGATATGTCTTCATAGTGATCCGTCTACCACTATTCCGACGCCTACGACAGAAAATTTAAAGCTCTATTCCATAAATGTAAATCCCATTTTCTGGCAACGAGTGCTCGGTCGATCATGAGTCATAGTTTCTCCACGGACACAAATGAAACTCGGGTTCACGAAACTAAGTCCATCCACTTCTCATTCATGAAACTCATCCCCTCAAGGTCTGTGCGTAATTCAAGCTCTACCTTCCTTTCAATTCTTTCCTCCGCATCCAGTGTCATGCATCTGTCTTTTGCTTTCTACTGGAATGGGGAGAAAGTCCATCGACGACATTGCCCATAATCTTCACCTCAAACCGCTCGACCTCGACATGGATCGAGGAGAAAAGCCAGTGTTAAAATCTTCAGATGAATTTTTTCTGTAAGTCGTGAACGAATGATGAGCATTTGCTTTGATGGAATGACGAGTTCTTGAACGAAATCCGATGAGATTCTTCGTATATCCGGAGAAATCTTCCAGCAGTGGGGACAGTGTTGACAAACACCTCGCGCTACAGGTGAAGCCTACGAGAAGATCTTAACGTATCCGCATCACTGGAAAACACCAAGTTCCCATCTCTGCCCTTCGTGATATTACTTCTCTATCAAATGTTCAATAGTGAGAAGCAAATGCTGAGATTGTTACTGAACCTCAAGCGAATAATAGATTCGGCTCGAAGGTACAAATTCTAGGCTGAGAGATTCGAGTGGGATCATGATCTCAGAAGTCTTCGAGCACCTGGCCACCAGAAGGGGCGGTGAAGATAAATGTTGTTCTGCCAAGCGTATTTCGTTCAATGGTCGGTTGACTCATTCCTTCAACAAGACTGGATCACGACAAGAACCCCTTCTCGTTGTGGTAGAACAGTTTTAGAAGTTTCCATGGGGTGTGCAGATGTCTGCAGATTATTTGCAGGCTCTTGGGTGCATTCCTTGACACTACTGCTGGACGATGGAGCCCGTCTATGACATTTTACCTCATAGGATGAAACAGGATTGCTCGCCCGTACATAAGAGAAAAGACTTCAATTTTCGTCGTACGTTTCGGGCTCTGATGTGTAGAATCTGAACCTGGCCCTTAAACGTCAGCCGTAAAATAGTAGAAAGCACAAAGAAAAGGAGACCACAATGATCAGTGCAATGAACCAGAGCGAAATCGGAAATTTATGGTACTGCATCAAAGCAAGACACACCTTGTCATTGTCAACTGGACAGATCTGAGCCACTTGTTACTAGAGGAGGAGGAGGAAGAGTAGCCATATCAAGACATTCCCAGAACTGAAAGACATAGAATGTTCTCAATTCGGTTTCAATTGCAACATTCCTTTTTGAGTCACTGACTTTTATCGCAGCTATGGCTGGCAGGCAGGTAGAATCTGGTACATGCTTGTCCATGACTTTAGAAGTAAGCACCTTCGAAATCGGATCCATGGTATTCTTTCCTCTTTTCCCCGTCAAAAGTCACTCACTCACTCACTCGTTCGTCGTTCAGGAGATCCGAGACTCCCTTGCTCTCTCTTGCTAAAGAACAGAAAGTTGGGAACAATATGTGTCCATCCTGGCTTTGCGTCGATCTTGATCTAGTCTAAGAAGACGAAATAAGCTGGAGACTCGAGGCATTTTGGCACGCTACTGGGTCTACTGCAAGGGAGTGCAGTGCAGTGGAGTGGAGTGAAGTGCGTGTATGTCAACTCAAAGTGTTAAAACGTGTTAAAAATATCTGGGCTCTGGTCGAGAGATCGGGGGCAGCATAGTGATGTTGACAGGCTCTGGGGCCTCCGAACAGCGTTTGTGAACCCGAGAAAATCTTGTTTATTAGGCGAGGGTTTGGGCTTATTAGGCTAGTGAGAGTCTGCTAGAGATTTGGTCGACACACCGGGAGCAGCATAGTGCCATTGACAGGCTAGAGATGCTCGTTCACAAAGTAAACGCATTATCCGTTTCTCCTCCTGCTCCTCCTCCTCATCCTTCTTCTTCAGTACTACTACTTCTACAGTAGTGATGCTAAGCGTGATGTGGTTAAGAGAAACGATTAGAGTTTGGCATGGCTGCGTTCGGTGGCCAAGTGAAACAGTGATCAAGTACGTGTTGCTCCACAGGTCGTCGGCTGAGTTGAGTACACTACGAGAGTGAAGTGGAATCTATGCTATGGCCAGAATTCACCTTTACCTCCATTGCAGGACAAGCAGGAAGAGGCTGAAGACGATGATGCTGAGCCGTTGAACCCAGCTCATAAATAGAAACTTCACACTACAGTGGAGGCCAAAGTGGAGGTTGGCTTGGCTCGAGCTTGGTTTTGAGAAGGCAATGGAAACTGAAGAGTCGTTCATCAAGCATCACAAGCTTTGCTTTGCTTTTCTCGACATTTGCATGGATCTCAAGAAATGCCATTTCTCCACAATAGAATATGAATGTCTTGGGGCCAGCGTTGTGGCGGGCTGGGCTGGGCTGGGCATAGGACGGTGGTTTTGGTTGCCGCTATATCTCGTCTTTAAGAGACCAGCGGCATCAAAGTTCCTCGAGTCACTAGAACTTTCATGGCTCGCACTGAAGAGATAACTTACCGAAAAGGAAACAAACAGAAAGTTCGGATGAGGAACGTGAATCAGAGAAGAAGACAAATTCGCAGGAGTTCCAAAACCGCCGTTCTGGCTGTGGCCCGGACAAGCAAGGTGCAATGCGCTGCACGACTATTCGTAAAGTGAGGCCATGGACAAATCGCCCACCGTGTCTGTGTGCATCCAGCTCCAGTTCTCTTGAAGGAGGTACGTGAAGTCTGCATGACGATTGGCCATCCTTTCAAGTCAACGACCCTCTGCTTCCCTTTAGGTCTAGACATAATCCCTTCTTCCAACATATCAACGAGCTCTTGCATTTCGCTTAATCCTTCCTTCTGCCACCGGTTCACCCGCCAAACCTTGACACTTTGCAAGAACTCGATCTCATTATATTATTTACTCTTCGGAGCTTTGCAGACAGTCAGTTGAGGTTAAGCAATTTTCACCTCTCGCCTCTGTCGTAGGCTAGTGTGCCGGCCCTCTCATCAGTCGTGTAGCTATTGAGTGGTCAGTGATGAAGACTGTTAAAAATGTGCACGGTCCACAGGTCCCATAAGCTACGTTTGTCCTACACTCACGTAAACCTTAATGCCGAAATCAGTAACTTTTTGCTACATCCGTTAGAATCAGAAATCCGTCTGCGAGTATGTCCTAAATACTTGCTCGGATGACTCATGAGTAGCAGACAAGCATATATACTGGTGATGAACCTTGTCAACAAAGTAATACTGCTCGTCATAATCATGAGTCCTGGTACCTCTTGTATTAGTCCGTCGTCTCTGTATCATTAAATGACGAAGGAAAGGCGTTTGTAGTCGACTTCTGAAGTGCACCGATTAACTTTAATCGTTCTGAACCTCTCAACACCAGGAATGCTCCGAGGCTTCTTCTCCCTTTAGTGACCACCCTCCGTCGAGCAGTTCAGTCTAGTCGAAACCTTTAGGTTGTTCACATATTTTCTGATTGAGCTCATATTCATAGCCAATTCACTCCACCGCAATCTAAGAGTAATCTTTTGCTGGCAAAACCGATGATAATGCATTTCCTCTCTTCTGAATTGTTTCAACCCCTCTAAATTTCTTGCCAAATGAAGTAAAATTGAGCGGAGCCTGTACATGCAAGATCACTGACATACTGTGATTAAACGTGGCATTTAGGCTCGACGTGCAGAGCACGGTGGAGACATTGATATCTGTAGAAGTAAGTAGGTTTTAGCAAAGAGGGTAATTTACAACAATGCCATGTCCGCTGAAGTAGCTGTGAGACAAACCTCGAACGCTGACATCCGACATCATGCTGTAAGTTAAAAGTTACACAGATATTCGGCTTTGAATGAAATTTCTCTGAGGACATAAGTGTGGCGACACGAACAACTGCAGATACAAACCATCCTTTTACCGTTCTCGATCTGAAATATTTTCTCGTGCATGCCCCACTCTCCACTGACTTCTAAGCAATAGCTCTCCCTTTGGTTGCTTTCGTGGTGACAAAAGTAGCAAAGCCTTCATGCGCATTATTCACCTGTCTTTGAGCTTACCATTCAGAAATGGTGAGGAGAAAGTAAATATAACCAGAGCCCAGGACCTTCGAGAATGTACACCCACAGAATACTCGTAAATTTGTGGGGTGGATAATGATCATTCATGTGCGTGATGGTAACATATGAAAGCCTGAATTAGGCTGAACGCCTGAAATTATTGTTCCCATCAGCCACATCTCGTACCACATATTTAGCTCATACTTGTCTTCGCTAAGATGCCCAAACTAACAAACTTCACTCATTTTTCTTCTCTGCTTCCCCTTCACGTCTTCGGACAGCATGAATAAGGAAACTTACTGAAAATCAGCAATAATTGCTTTGTACTCTAAATAGGTTTCTTCACTTCTGTAGCATCATCCAATATTCACCTCGAAATTTTGGATCACGAACACAACAAAATCTTTGTTACTATTACACGTGCTTCGATTCTCCTCTAAAAAGCCCTATTATACAACTTATACAAGATCGGTACTTTACACCTGTCGTTTCTTGACATCATAAGATCAATCGTACAAGTGCGCAGATGATGTTATTGGAAGTTCGCAGATCAGCAAAAGATGAGTACTTTGTACTCAACTGATCGTGCCCTGCAGACCTCCGATTTGTACGTGCCCTCTTGGTGCATCCTGCTGTTTCATCTTGAAACCCGAGCAAGCCACCTTAATATCCACCCTTCTGCTGTCCATAAAACGTTCATTTTGTCAAAATTAGGCGACCGAACTCGCTGTGCTGTCTACATAAAAATGATACGGGCATCTTTTCTGACCGACTAAACATCCGAGAGCTTCCTAAAAAGTGGAAATCTTGATACTAAATCTGTCATCCATGCTTAGTTTCAAGCCCAAGCGGAATAGAATTCATACTTATCTAATCACCCTACACGACTCAAAGCCTTCTGGAGTACATGTAGCGAGCTGGACGAAATTACCTTGTCAATTTTTGTCGACATATAGGCACATCACCTTTATACTGATATGAAGATGTCTCACCATGTGGCTTGACTGGATGGAAAAAGTTTACTAGGGGATTCGATCTCCACAATATGTTCCTCGTCCCCATCGGAATCACAACTAGTTCCAGAGTGGGTTCTCTGCAGGACTTGGGGCCGTTCCTGGTGAGCTGGTGTAGATAACAAGTTACCTTGACTGTGAGTCATCCTGGGAACATAACCATAACTCCGTGCTGGCAGTTTCAGAGCATCTGCTGACGAGAACTGCTTCCGAAGGGATCTCGCCGCAACAGCTGAATATGACTGACTCCGAGGCTGTTGAAAACTAAAAAACTTACGAACATAACTACTTCTCCACCCTTTGTTCGGTACCTGCCACAATCAGGATCATATCAGTTTCAAACAATCACCAGAATACTTTGACGTTGGCTGTTATCAAACTCCACAGATCAGTGTTGCCGTAAATACTTGTTCTTATTCAGTGCACTCATAATTCACCACGAAAGTCAGTCAGCCATGGACATTTTGACCAAGAGTGGAGTACAAGCATCGCAATAATGTACACACGACCAAAAGGCAACTGATACTCTAGGAAAGTAAAAACTGGAGAATAGTCTTAAACAGTACTTATCTCCACCTTCTGTAAGAACAGACGCATTACTAGATCATACCTTACTGCCAAACACGCTCAACTCCATGGCTTTTTCTGAGTAATTGCCCGAAAGGTCCTCGGAACCATCAACTGATTTATTTAGACCATCACTAGACTTCCATGAACTGCGATATTTGGATCCGAATCGCATCAATCCAGCTAAATCGCCCATACTCTGCCTTGTAAGAAGGGGATTCAAAGATGGGAATGGAGGAGTCGACTGATAAGAAGGAAGATTGATGAAAAGAACCCGAGAGCGAGCCTCTACATGGTAGAAAATACTCTGCTGTACAATGCTCTCAGTCCGGCTACCTGGAAGCCCTGAACGCAGAGAAAATTGAATCAGAAATATGCTTCCTGGCATTCGGTAACAATAAACGAATATGCTGATGCGATTAAGAACCTTGAGCAAACATATTTTAATCTGTCTATTCGACGCTATGAAAATATAAGAGGGGATAAAAGTCTGGATCGTTAGACACTGGCGTAACATTTCAAGTACTTGCTGCTTAGACAAATACAACAACTTCATCAGGGCTCATCATAGCAATGAGGTAGCTAGGCGTGCAAGGTTCACATCGATCAAGGGTAAACGCATAGAATGAGTAGTATCTGAATAAAAATCTACAGATCTTCTGTAAGGTATCCGTCGTCTCGGAAAATCTGTGTGTTTTATCAAAAGGTGCAATTTTACCAGTAAAGCGTCGAGCGAATGTCGGCGTCTTGGAGAGTGTTCACAAAGATCTGTGACTGCGTTTGCCGAAGGGAGGGCTCATACAGGAAAATCTGATTCTGTTATATTCACGACAGCATCGGGACTGAAAGTGCTCTTACATCAAAAATATAAGAGAGAAGAGAACAATACCTTTACCGACCGTAAGGATCTCTGTTTTTGTAATTAAGCCGGCAGGAGCACCGATAACTTCATCCTCCTTACCCTCTTGCTTAAGGAAACCTTCAAGCAAAATCCCGATCTTACCAATCTCCAGCTCAAATGTTTCTCCGCGGATATATGTGCACAAGTTAGAACTTTCCGAAAATAGCGCACGCAGCTCTTGCATGGTGATAGCTCCAAACTGAAGGGGTAACACAATTTTGGCCACGACCAAGGCACTTTCCTACACACACGGCATCAGCCAAGTGATTTATTCTAGGACAATGACATGGCCAAATTATATACAGAAAGTGCGATGGAGTCGGCATGTTCTGTCTTAGAAGGATGCATTGCCAACGGGTTTTTTGTCGCACTTGCCTCCAAGGGCCGATACTTTATAGAGTGATTTACAGCTCAGGTCACGTTTCTACAAATCAATATACTTGTGAGCATCCTATGCCTGAGAGAGGAGGAACCTAGTTGTCCGATACCATTGCCACTGGAGAGAAAAATGTGAAGTTTGTGCCCGGCCTTGACATGACAAAAAATGGCAGGAAGTGCAAATATGGATGTACCTGCCAAAAAAAGTCTTCGAGTGCGGGGGGCTCATTCTTAGACAAAGCCATGAGCTTTGCACTGTCTATGAAGAAGCAATGGGCCACTGAATCTGCTGTGATGGTGCAAAGTCGTGGCCTGCCAGTTAAACATTCATAAAGACCAAGTGTACTGCCATGCGTGAAGGTTGGGTGAAGCGATTGCCGTCCAGCATTATTCTTTGTGGTCCACTGACGAAACAAGCGTAAATGCATGAGTGCAGGAAATGAAGGACTTATCGCACGAGACTAAGCAGAGCCTGAGAAAGAGATGACAACGAATAGCCGGTGTGAACAACTCATACGTGGATGGTGTGAACACTTCTACTGCACAAAGGTCCCATCGGCTGGAAATACAGGAACTTTCAAAACCAGCCGACAAAGTAGACATTACACACCTTCACCGACCCATTGGCTACAAGCCACACGCCTTCGGCTTTTGAATCCTCCGTGTAAAGCGGACTGTCTCGAAACATCATGCACTCTTTAGCGGCATGTTGAAGAACTTTCTTTAGATGATCCGGAAGGGCTCCAAAGAATGGCTGATTGTTGAGCGCCTCATGTGCGGATGGCATTTCTACCGAAGGTGGCGATCTCTGCAATTTTTTCAAGTCTACCTGGTCGAGAAAGCCCGAGTGATTAGACCCAAATTTCAACAGCGAACAAAGACTCTGGTTTCACAGAAGCACAGTACTCTCAGCAGGTTCTGGGGGCGCAAATACTGCACGTCTATCAAGGCAGACAGGAGGATATGAGATTTCTCCTCAGCCAGATAACGTACCTGAATCATATCGTGTAAGTGGTTCGTCTCTTTTACTTCTAAAAGTCCTGCTTGTTCGAGACTCTTGACGTAAACACTCAAACGTACCAAGACGGCATAACTCACTTGCTTTGTTTTTATAACCCGTAAAACCTAAAAAAAAACGAACGAGGTGCTTCAGCGCTGAGCTGCAAACAGAATTATACGTAATCTAGAACTTCGCAAGACTCACACCTGGACTACGACACCTAGTTGGTAACAGTCTTTTGATACTATTGTCAACAGAAGACAAGATCGTCAATGGTTTCCACGTCTTAGTGAACATGATGAGCTATTTGACTAACTTTGTGCTATTGAAACAATAATTTCAGACGACAAACCTCCGGAAACAGAAGCCGGACATCCTCAAGAAAGCGCTTAGCCTCAGCTTCCTCATTTTCACTTTCGGTAATCACAAAGTCAGCTACCTCACTTTCTCCTGATGTAGGGATGGCACAGGAGATAGAACAAAGTCACTATAATTCCATCTCAAAACAAGACTGGAATCCTTTCAAACTGCTCTGTTACGACACTTCAAACCTAACTGTCACACGATGGCAGTGTATGTACGAGATATGAATAACACGAAAGACAATAGTGAGCTGCTTGATGTTTATTTATACGTCTAGAAAGAATTCCGTAATGTCGGTGACTGACGCATCATTCTACACTAAGCTTTCAAAGTCGCAACTACTTAAAAGCAAAAACGACGAACTTTGAAGTAGCGCATCACACCGATGAAATCACGCAGTTGATGCCTTGCTTGTCTGTGGGCTCGAAGGAAAGCTGCAGCAATGTAGCATCCCAGCTCCAGTCTAACTACAGTAAAGAACGAGAGAAGGCGTTTTGGCACCATCAAGGAACCCCTCCACTTCAAGTAGTGTGGGAACTGCACATGTTGTTTGAGACCTTTCCAGTCAAGCATGGGTTCGTGTCGAGCTACCTGGAAAAGAATCACAGCAGTTATTTCTATGTCCATCCATCGGAAGGGCTCTATAGATAGAAGGCATAAGCGTATGGTCCATAAGCACATACATAAGACCTCAAAAAGGCTCCAAGAAGATGATCATAACACCTACAGAATCAAGAGATTCGTCGACAGATTGCATCAGTATTGATGCGGATGTTCTTGTTATGCGACCCTCGTCTAGCATCTCCCAATATGCAGCCTGCACACCTGCATGATCCGAAAGACAAACATCGAGCATCATCTTCAGTAAACATAGTCGCCAAGCTAAGAAACGCTTGTAGACATCGATGGCACTTGTCCTGGCCATATCATTGTAATAAAACTCACCTATAGTTTGGTTTCTTTCCTAGCACAATAATTTCGCCGGAACAAGAGAACACTAGTAGAAAAGGTAAGCTGCTGCCACAAGTCAGCTGAATTCCTTGAATTCTTGATCAGCCACAGGGTTCGGAAAAGAACCATTTAAGAATCGAATTCGAGTGTCTTGAAGAATCATCTTTCGTGTTTCTTCTCCTGAACTACTTGCTTCATGTGGATGTGTTGGAGATCCTCTCTCAATTTGATGTCGCAAGCAGGTAACATATGAGTAGACGGTTGCCCATTCTGCTGGCCCTAAATCTTCATCCTCTCCTAACTCACCAAATGACTCAAGAGCTTTGCCATACATTTCATGTCTTACATATTCCAGAACAAGGGCCTGCACAACGAGAAATATGTCACACTCACAACAATGACGTGAATGAATTGAACACACATTAAGCAGAATTCGAACCAGCGATCTTTTCATCTCAGTTTTGTCAACATCACTGGGCATCCAACATTCTTGCAACGTCCCTTTAAGGAGAAACGTTGAAATGTTAGATACCCAGTTGCTCAAGGAACTACATCATATCCGCAAGCCATGTTGCCAAGATGTATCCAAAAGAAAAGAAAGCTGGCTGTTGAGAAGGTAAATAATCAAATTCCTGAGTTGTCTGCTATTGGATCCAATATCTTCTCCAAATCACTACTACAAGTCAACCTAGATTGAAGAGGGCATTCCAGCAAACCTTCGTTTCGGACGTAGTTTCCATACGTAATGCTCTGAGTAAAAACTGAGTCGTGGATCCATTGATAATTAAAGTTAAGAACACAACTCCACCTGTAAAAAAGACAAACTGTTGCATACAGTGGAATAAAAAAGAAGTGAGCACTCTCCCGATCATGAATTTGTAACTATATGTCCAATCTAACATGATATGTATGAAGGAAAGACAGTTCTTAACCCAACCTAGCAGCGACCCAACCAAATCAGTGGCGAACCCGCGTGCTGCTTGACCGTAAATATAATGACTTGAGTACAAGAATTTTGAAGATAATGAAGGCCTAAAGTGCTGCACTGATTTACACTAAATTTTTGTACTAAATCTGACAAACAATTTATACCAAAACAAAGGGCATGCCTGTATACTTCGGAATGGATGAGGACAAATATCTTACATATCGTTGAGCTCTTGCTTCTGAACTGCATACATCAAAGTACAATGCATTACTTCGAGAGAGAGGATGCAACCAGTACCTGAGCTTCTGTCCTCCTTGTGATGAAAGTATACCCTTCTGATTCAGCTTCGCCAACTTGCTGCAAGCCAAGAATTTCTGGTCACTTTCACTTTCTAATCGGTGAACCAAAAGGCGTTTTAGAAAAAAAATGCCATTGGTTGCTGATCAAGTTTCAACAAGGGTACTCTGCGACTTAACAATCTTCCGAGGACTGCACTTCAAGGCTGGAAGGTGCAATAAAGTACAGAGATGGAAGCAATATTACTTACAGCCACTGAGAGAGAGAGAGATAAGGCAACGGCTCCACGAAGTCCTGACCAGATAAGTATAGAGGCCTCTTTCCAATCAAGGCCATACCCGAAGTACTTCAACCCTGGGTACAGGATGATGACAACGAGCACTCTAGAGAGCTGCAATGCCACATATAACAACACTAGATAACCCCAATCATGTCCTGCGGTCAAAATTTGTTGTTCGATTAGGAACCCTCTTGAAGATCTAGATACCTCGAGCAAAAACGTCGAGATTACAGTCAATGATTATGTTGCGTAAGGTCACAAATTTCCAGCATTCCGTGAGAATCATACGTACGAAGCTCAGCCTAGACTCGCAGAAAGACTTGATAACTTTACAGGATACCTTGAATATTGTTTTGACTTTGCAGAATGCTCTCCGCGATTACCGTCCCGCTGTATACATATCAGTTGGGCCCACGTAAGCCTTGGATAAAATTGGTTTTTCCGTAGACTGAATTCGTGTCGGGATGAAGAATTTTACAGATAAACGACACCGCTTCCAAGCAAGTTACTTAGACACCGTCTGCTGTGCCACAAGAGATTCAGCAACTCTTGAGCACATTCTTCAAAAGGTGTCGCAATACGAGTTAACAACAAAGGGCTTCCGTCGGACTTGATATAGGCAGCCAGCGAAAGACATACCTAAGAATGAAGATCAAGGTGTTGGCAATGTAAGCGACCATTTCCCTGTTACAAACATATACATCGACTTGTGTAAATGTTTGACCTGAAACAAACGTCATCTCGAAAGTTGCCCAAAGTTGACTTTGATCTATACAAAGTCCTAGTTGAGTTGATAAATTGAACCTTTTGTGCGCCTCTCCCTGTGCATCAGTATGGATAATGAAGAATTGGAGTCTAAAATGGACATATAAGAAAGTTGCAAGAGACTAGTCAATCCTAAGCTAGTTGTGTCCAAGCTCGAAGTTTGTTTAGAGTAGAGAACTGGGCACAATAGACATAAAAATATACTCAAGAAGCAACCTAAACTAAAATGGAAATGATCTAGCAGTTGGTTGGCTAGGCCACGCAGTATTTAGAGATGAATAAGAAGTTGAGGTTCTGTTCGTAGTATTCCAGTCTTTTTCAACCCTCAGGGGTTTTTCTGGTATCAAATTGTTTATCTCGAAGTACTTGACTTGATTCTTAGAAACAAACTGGAAGATGGAGCGGGCAGTCCACATATGCTACGAGTCTCAGAACGAGAGTTCCTATTTGGACACAACTCAACAAAATGACAGCTGGCGTTCAGCTAATGTGGAATTTTTTATGGTACATTTTTTTTTTCATTTCTTTTATACATGGATAGAACTTGCACTGATAACGACATTGAGTTGCCAAATTCTGTAGACTAAACTCGAAGTGTTGCTGAAAACAACAGACAACGTATTAAACAGCTCGATGTCGTCAATTGTTTTTAATGTCCGCCTTATGAGGTGGACTGGCGTTGTTCAAACAGGAAAGAAGCAGACAGACGAAACCCTCATTAACTTTATCCTAGAAACAAAAAATACAATTGAGTTGAAAGCAGAACGTTCTTTTCGATCGTACGAGGCAACAGGATTTACCAGAAGTGGTGCATACTTTGTTGACTTTCACCAGTGAACGCAGTCCTTGCGAATGCGGCAAAGAACCTACAAGGTCAACTGCGAAAAATTGTGAGCCACAGTACGTATGCACTGTTACTGGGACCAATGGAGTAAGAAAAGACCACCAGTATCTCCTTCTACGAGATACCTAAGGGGTGTAACCCATCTCATGTCAAGTCAACACAATACAACAGATTGAGACAGAAAGTGATTCATAAAGCAAAGATAAGTAAGTGACTCCAAACTAGATTAACCTAACAATATAGAAAGACTAAAAGGAATGTATCTGGGTATTCCTGTCGGACAGAATGTTAAAACAATGCTTCAGCTTCCACACACGGATGAACGACATGGTACGAGAAGCAACTGCGGATTTTAAGTTATCACAATACATACTGATGAAGTTTGAGGTCAGTTTCTCTTTGTATTAGGAATAAGGGTATAAGTAGTGTTTAATCATCAGTTACATCAACAATCATATTAAGATTGTGTTTTCAAAACAAGGCATCAGGCTGAAGTTTGAACTTCTATCTACTTATAGCTTGCCTGTTTATAAAGAATGCAGATCAGAGTACACATAGTCAGTAGTCATTATCACACATTTGGATTCCTCAGGAGGTGGTGGAGTCACTCCAGTAAAATTTAGAGTTCGTCTCCATTGAGTGGGGAGTGTGGAGAGTGCGGGGAGTGCTATCTCAGTTTCTGATATTAGTGTTGTTTACCTGAGGGTAAGGAGAGTGATAACAAGCTATGGCTACACTAAAAGAAATCAGGTACTAGTCATACCTATCGAATACATCCTAGTAAACTGCTGCAAACGAGTTCAAACCCTTGGAATAACACCTTCCGGTATACGTGACGCGTTAAAGTTGAACACGAACGCGTACAAAACTTTATCCATTTTACAAGTAAAAGTATACTGAAATCTACCTTCAAGGGTCTTGGTAGTAGTAAAACATCATTTAAAGCTTTCTTACTATCATTTATGCATTTAACTACACTCCGGGTTCTCTTTCCCTTCAATACAGGACTACAGCTGCGCAACTTACATGCCAACTGTCATGACAGTTAGTACGCCAGATACCTTTGCCTCCATTTCAGCCTGAAATGAGAAGAAGACAAGTATAAGGAAGCGGTCGAATGGTTATCATCTGTGTGAATCAAGACTTCCAATGAGGTATTACCAAGAGAAACTTCAGAGAATTAAGTATGGACAAAGGACAGGAACTTACAACAAAAAAAGCCATGTAACTTGCGGTGAGGGTCAAAGTGATCTCAACGATGGCATCGTTGAACACTCGTCCAATCCACAACACGGTAACCAGTCCAAATGCTAGCCCCAGTGCGACTCTGCGAAAAAAAAGACTTGCATGAAAAAAGCTCGTGTTTTCTCAGAATACCTTCATAGCGCATCTGCCTATAACCAAAAAATATATATGACAGCTGAAATTCTACAAACATAACTACTTACGCTCCGAGAGCAACTTGGGAGAAAAATCGTATGATATCTCCTGGAGTAAAGTGCTGGCCGAGCACCATCTGGAAAAAAAGTTTAAAAACAACAATAGCCGTTCTGCAAGAACAGGAACGATGAACAAACCGTGATCAACCACAAGGCATTATCACGCAAGGGAACCGAAGAGTACATACCCAGTAGGTACAACACAGGGTTCTAGTTATGTCATCAATCGATGCATTGTCACATACAGGCAGTGAAGACAAGAAATTGCATTCTGCAAAAACAAAAACCAGTTCAAAAATTCATCCCAAAGATGTATCAAGGAGTATTTTTGTGAATAAACCAATGGCAAACCACTAAACTCAGGTTCTGTTTCATACTCACCCGTCATTCATTAACGATTCACCTTCTACAATTGTACTTAATTTCTTGCTGGCTCCCAGCTCCTTTAAGAGAGCAACAACTGCCACTGGATCTGTAGCACTTAGAAGGCCTCCAAGAAGCAAACAGGTACTCCAATTCCAGCCATAAGGAAAAAGAAACTGACTTTCCAAAATCCAGACAATGAATAAAGCATTAGGTTCAGAGCTGCATCTAGGCTACGAGATCTGGTGAACAATGAATGCGGTAAACTTTGAAAGCATCCGTTAAGAATTTCACATAAGTTCATATGACTTTCAGAGTCAATGCGTGAGAAAGAAACTAGTATTTGATACATGGTTAATGAGCCATAGAGGAAAGAAATGTAAGTAAAAAAAATACACGTACACCCTCCTCTCGTAGGTGGTAAATGTATCGCTAGTTATTCACAACCTACAAGAGGAGAGTGTAAGTGCGAGGACACACAGGTCTTAATTCGATGCTCAGTACAACTACATAATACTTACACGATGGACAAGAGCAAGGCTGAAGGTGGAAATCAAAACTCCAGGAGCAGCTAGCAAGAGCATCTGATTTATACATCTCTGCGACAAAAAACGAGCGACATCATTTCATAGGAATAGTGTACAATTGTCACGTAATAAATTCTACTTCAAATAGCTACAAAGTTAAGACGGCTGCTCTTCTGTGTACAACAGAAAGAAAGTGAAACTCTATCGTCGGCGCATTTTGATGAATTTAAGCGAGGGTGTGTAGACAATGAACGTCCATGGCAGTTTCTATTCACAGCCTCCAATTTTTCTATTCAGAAGACTATCGTCTTTTAAGCTGATCTACATTGTGACTGAACGAGAACGTACTGTCTTGTAACCTGGTAGATAGGCATCAAACCTTGGAACAAAATGCATATATATCTGTAGCAAGATGGGGTGCTTTTACTCAACGCAGGCTTTGGCAGATATTAAAAGGTCTGCCAATACAGTAAAGTTCCAACTGTACATTGTGCACACGTGCACATCAGAAATCTCTCGCGAATTGGGAGAATCTTGACCATGCACACAAATTAGTTTAGTTCTACCTATTTTCCATAAATACAAAGTGCAGAAGGCCCTCAGATATCTCTAAAACATCTGTTTGGCCGAAATAGACAAACTGCCAACAATAGGTCTGCTAATGTTCAACTTTAAACATGGCAAATCATTTTGATCTTTTTCTATCCAAGAATGAGGTTCCCTTGGAGATTCGAGATGTCGACCAAGATACTATCACTACCTCATCCAAAGGTAGGTTTTTTAGTAGTGGGTGGAGAACGCGCCCTTTTTTCTCATCAAGTATTGCCCAGATGATATTACTCATGAGAGCAGAAACTTAGGTTTTGAAATAGAGGCTAAGATTTCTCCACTGATTTTGGTTTGTCCACGATACATTGAGAAGGAATATCTGGCACAAAAGGCCAGAGATGTGGTTACATTTCGTTGAAGCTTATTACCTTTATCTGATGAAGTTCCATGGCAAACGAGCTTTCAAAGAGAAGAGCAGGTAGGAAAACGAAGAGTATTAGATCTGGATTGATTTTTGACCCTGCACACATATCAGAATACTTCAGTATTAGCAAGACTTCATAAAAATTTATTCAGAGCAGACTCATATATAAAATACAGTCCGCCCTATGTGAATTTTACCTGAATAGATCTTTAAGGACTACATACGTTGCTAGAACTTTACTCCCGATTTGAAAATAGCTAAAAACCCAATACAAAAGTTGATTGTTTAGACTCTGGACTTATATCCTTACAGTACTCAATTGACATGTTAGCTTTACAAAAAGTTCATAAATTACAGTATCTGCAACTTGGTTTGGAATCGACAGCAAAGTCAAATTTAGAACACAGTCTGCCCTATCTAGTTTTTAATGAGTGTATTCAGGTGTGAAACGCAATCGACTTTGGAAAATGAAACGCAGCCAGTTCAAAGCGTTCTTACGTTCACTGTGTCGTACGTGTGTGTACTCAGTAGACGTAAGTATCCATATTTCAATTCCTTTTTACCTTTGACATTTTCAATTGTTCAGCATGTATGATTGTGTATCTAGTATGTTATTAAGCAACCTCAAATTTCAACTTGAAATTTTGGACAAGGCAGACCATGTATCTTCTACATATTAATATTTAAAGTCTCAGTCTATAAATTCTAGTCTTTTGCAATCAATAGAAATGTCATTGACCTCAAGCTGTAGGAAACACTTCAGGCATAGAATGCACTTATTACTCTGTTCCTGTCATTGATTGAAGACCACTGACCCCGATATTTTACTATCACATCGACATCCACTCGTAACGAAAGTAATCTGTGACTTTTATGATTGGACATTCAATATTGATTTCAACAAGAAAGGCGAGTATCTGGATAGCCATACACATTCTAATACTTGCTCCCAATGTTCCCAAACCCCGGCTGGTCCCATATTCTGCAAAGAAGCAAACCATTGATGAGATTTTACACACAAATGGCTTATGAGTCTATCATACTCAAGAGAAATGGTAAAGCTCCTAAACCTTGTATTCGAAACACAAATTTCAATATTTGAGGAAAATAGTGCACAACATGTACAGCAATGTATAAGCAACAGCAAGAAGTAAAGTATCTCTCACCCATTGCACCCAAACCAGATCCCAGAATTAGCAAGGCGACGGTGTAAGGAACTCTTGTGCCTCTAAACACCTGTCGACATATTACTCCCAAAATGAGTGAGACCCCAATGAAAAGAATGGCAACCGTTGGCTCATCTTCGTTATTGCTATCGGCAACCTCAGGAGCATAAGTCGAATTCAACGAGTCGTTCATTTCGAGTTCCTGCAACCAACATTTACATGTAATTTTGACATCATGTGAACAAGTTCAGTACGGCATTATTGGTGAACCAACTTTAAAACCACTCCAGAAAATCAAGTGCATTGAAAGTGTTCATCTTTCATCTTCCTATTGAAGCCTTTAATTTTTTTTTTCGTCTACGGACCCAAGGACCTGGCGAATCCCGAAAGCCGGGAATGTAACATATTCTTCTGAGCTTTGTGCCGTATCCCTTTCCTGCATGTACTACGGCTGGCGCGTGTAACCTCAGAGGTCTTCAGGGTTCTCGAGTTCCGGGTTCCATTTACCAGAAAGGAGGAAGGCTCCCGCTTTCTATGATGATAGTCAAAACCGACACACGAGGCTGAAATCCGGCACGCGTGATATAGAGAGATACAAAATAATGTAGACTAAAATATGAAGTTCCTGACCGAGACTCTTGTCTCAGCTCAAAGTTTATGACATCAAAGAATATTTACGACAAAAATGGAAATGCTGGAAATGCTAGAAATGCTTCCCCATACAAGAGGCAAGCATTTCCAGGGCCCACTATGCAAAGTATCTGTCTTACTCTAGAGAAGGCCAACGCTGACCACTGTGCTCATTGTATGTGTACCTGGATTTGAGGTACACCACGGATCAAGGAAAAAGAGACCAGAGAAGGAGCTCGTGCTCTTTTGGAACTCTTTCGCTTCTGCCTTGCAAATGCTATATCTGATATGGGTACGCAAAAGTAAACTTCGATCTTCTAATTCGTTCACAATCTGTAGCTAACTGATCATTCTGCTCATTTCAATGTTAGCAATTCAACTTCAACCCTTCATCTCCTCCGGAAGACTTTGTCCAGCATGAACTTGACGAATCTAAGCAGTGACCTGCACCATCACGACTCCTACAATTTATACATTCCCAGGAGTTGGAGCAGCTCTACTGGGAAAGTGGTTGCTTTTTGCTCGCCATTATTTTACTCGGACTGGAGACGTGACTACCAGTGCGCAGACAACAGAAAAACAACGTCAGGTCCATCTGAGGCTGGGATCCATCGAGACTGTAGCTGGTTACCATATTGAACTCGATAAAGATCAACCATCGTATATTACAAACTTGGTCAACTGAAAGCGGTCCTCCACTAGCCCTCTACTAATTGGACACCGCTTTGCCTAGTGGTGTGTCATCGCCTATCGGTGTGTCACCAATTCACCGATACTTCTAGTTCACCTGCCGCCGAAATAGAGCTCCAAACCTTTTAGGACCATATTGATGAGGACAACAATTCCAACGATGACGATAGGTATCAAATCTGCATGGCCGAAGTTCAGCTTCAGCAGCATTCTAAGCATGGCTGAAAACAAGAGATAGGACTTACTGGTCATCTCTATAGTCATCTCTCTATGGTCATCTTACTGGTCATCTCTAGAATTCTACATGGTTTAGGACGGCACCAAATTCCATCAGGTTCGACAAAACTTTCTGCATGTTGGAGAGACTGGACCAAAGTTCATACGCTGATCACGCAAACTTTGTACACCCAGTCAAACAAACAGTCATAAGCTCCGAAAAGAATGTCCAACACACGTGTACACCGTCCAACTGCAGATTCACAGAATATGAATGCTGCCTCTCAAGTCATCGCTATTGTATTCTACTGTTTCGACAAACCTTCCAGATGACCAACCTCAGATCTAACTACATACTGGATTACACACCGAGCATCTCAACATCACTGCGGCTTGCACCGAATGTGATCTGTACGAAAAGTTGGGCAAGGATGTAACGCATCACTACTCTCCAAGTCCTTTCACAACACAAGAAGCCACCGCTACAGACATACCCAATTCCCAATGTCAGAACATTACGTCGTATTCGTATTAAAAAAATATGTTACCCAAAAATCTCCAAATATCTGTAATCGCCATCTTTTAAGTTGTCAACATTTTTCCACCCATTATTTCAGTGAGCGTCATCAACTCAATTTTTTAAGGACCAAATTCTATCTAATCCAACGAATTGACAAATCAGTATTAATATAGTATATAATTCTCTTCCTTTTTGCTTTCGCTTTTAACTCTTCTTTCGTGATTTTGCATTCGTACATGTGAACTGAATACCTAGGAAAAGAATATCGACATTGTCACCCATATATGACAATTCGAATGACATACCAATATGAAAAGCCCGAAGATACTGGCGTTGAATTAAAGCAGGTTGATATCGTACTTGTGTATGTGCCAATTAACGGTCCAAATGATATCTTACAAGCATTCCTTGCAGATTCTGATATGCGAGAAATTTTCCTTTTTCCAAACCCGCTTCCAACACAATCCTCAAAAGCTTTAGGATGTATCAAAGAACTTCAACTATTTCACATGAAGTCCCAAACTCATAAGTCGTGAATCCACCACTATTCACGTTAATTGTATAGGTAGATCACTCACTGTTATTATGTATGGATCAGAATCCGAATCTTCCTCTTTTTACAATCCCATACATTTAAACCATTTAGGAGAATTATACGAAATGACAATCTGTACTCAATCATTAGAAGTAGAAATTTTTCAAATTTCTTTTTGTTAACCCATAAACAACGATACTTGATTGAGCAATATCAATAATGGAAGAATATGAGAACCCATAGAATGTAACGAATTACTTTCACCTTCATGGAAAACTCAGTTCGATCACTCTTCCTATGATAATTATGAATATTTTGAAATATTTTGAAACTTTAACGAAGATGAGATGTGATTACGTGTGTCTTTAGGGACCTGTTTAGTTTATAACAAAGAGCCTATGGTACGTTCGTGCTTGTTCGAGAGTGTTCAGTATCGAAGGAGAGTGCCGTTCAAAGCATAGTGGATGAGACGGGGCAGAAGTCTGGGAGAAGATGACTCGAGCTATCTCACACAAGCTCTTCAATAACTCCTCTTTGCTCTTATCAGCAGCATCGGGGCACTCTCCGACCATGTCATTACGACTCTCTCTAAGACTTCTCAAGACAGTAGCTCCTTTTTCTCTCGATGTCAATGAGATGCGTGGGATGCATATTTCTCCTCTTCGCACATGGAGGACAAGGAACTGGAGCTTGCATCCCAACAGAGGGTACAGGGAGAAAGATGGATGGATCTGCCAGAACAAGGAACAAGCAAATGTTCACACTCTTCACCTCCGTAGGCCAACAAGTACACTTTTGATAAGTCTTCTGTTCTTCGCTTGACAATTTCAACTCTGGACCGCAAGGGAGGTATCTACATTAAAAATATGGTCAATATGGAATACCATGAGGATTTCCACTGCAGCTAGAGATTAGTCTCTAAATTAATACCCGTCAACATGAAGGATCTTACCGCCAGTTTCCTGTCTCTTCAAAAAATTCCTTGAGCTGGTTCGGTGCTATTCATCCCTTCTACTCATGACCTTCTGGGCATAGGAGGAATTTTCTAGACTTCTGCACGCGCGGGGTAGACACTGACAGAGAAGATACATCTGTATTGAAAATAAAGGAATGGTGTGTCAGATTTTTTCCACGGAGGCCAACATGTTGGTTACCATCGGAGAAATTATAGGATGCGAGCGGAAGGTACTGAAGTAGATTCATGCCACAAGGAAGAAAAGGTCGAGGTGACAATTCCACATGAGAATATAAGAAGCGAACGAGTCGAGACTGTGACTGAAGTGAATTCGGAGGCTAAAAGCTACTTCATCAGTCGACGATGATCTACATTTGCAAGACCTGGACTTGCGCGTCGTATATGAATCTATACATGAATACACGTGCCACGCTTCCTTCAGGTAAGTGTGAATGCAGCTGAATCCCGGTAAAATTCTCCACCAAATTGCATCTTTTCAACCAAGTGCACACCTCAAAGTTCCAAGCGGGAGCACAATCTCCTCCGTGGAAATAATGCTGAACATCGGGTGTACAGCTCTGGCTGAAGTGACGAGAAACATGTAGACCTTACAATTGACACTGCATGATTTAGTCCAATTTCGGTACACCGATCATGAGGGCGAGTCAAACGTCTAGTTCTTCTCCATCTACGCGACTGCGATGACCAAGCCGCCACAATTCAGGGGAATCCCCGACCTGCTTCCCTTTTGGACTGCAGGAAAGGCTATTGCTTTGGACTCAAAATCCAAAGCGAATCGCTCATGTCCAAAAGAGCAAAGGAAAACGAGCTCGCCCGCTCATCAGTGTCAGAGAGCAGAGAAATCAAAGAGCTGCAGGAATGAGATGGATCTCTTTGCACGCTGTGGCTTTTTGGGATATGATTTGGATCGGAGTAGCAGAAAGAAGCAAGCCAAGTACCGTATGGAAACATCGGGGGCTGGAATTGGAAATGCCAGCTCAGGGCTCACAGAATGACCCAGAATTCATGCCTTACGGAGAGCAGCGTGGGACACAAATCAAAGACCACGTTGTCGACTCCACGCAGCTCCACGCGAGACGAGCGCCACAAATGGAGCACACAAGGCTCATCATACACATCATACTACTGCACCATGTCAAGAACCAAATGCTCACACAGCCATTCCGCACTGCTGGGGTGACCGTCCGTTTCCTCTTTCAGAGAACACTGCGCCGCGACGCCAACGCCATCGCCATGCAGCAGTGCGAAGCCTCGTGCATGCAAAGTTGACAGGCTTTCGAATTCCAACATACCTCGCTACTGCACTGTCATTCCCACGCGGATTCCAACGACGAGCCCGATTGCGAATCGCTCGAGCAGCCACCACTCCCGTCCAGACGCCAGAATCGATCGATCGCTCGCTCGCCGGCTCGACCAAGAAACTCTGGAAATCCGATGCACTCACTACTGGCTCAGTCCAGGGGCTCGTGCTGCGCGCAGACACCAGCGCCCAAGCACAGGGAGGCGAATGTTCTCCGGGGGGCTGCCCGGGGCAACAAGTGGACGTCCCGCGCGCTGGGCGAATCTCCCGACGAACGCCCCTCACGCCGGACGGTTCCCAAGGCGGCGCAGCAGAGACAACCAGCACCGTCCACCGTCCGTCCGTCAGTCCGTCCGTCTGTCTGTCCATCCGCTATTCCGTCCGGAGCGAAGGCTGCGGCGCAAGACAGCTGCAGCAGAGCGAGCACGCCGCAAGGCGGCAGCAGCAGCAGCAGCAGCAGCGGCGCGAGCTGACGAGTCACGGAGTCAGAGTACACGTTACCTGCCAGCCAGTCACCCTCCACGTCATCGGCCAGCTCTGACGTCATCATTCGCATCCGAGAGAGACTCCACGCATTTATACCGCCACGACAATTTTCGCCGCCGGCGTCGTGTTCAATGTTCAATGTTCAATGTCGAATGTCGAGTCGATGCTTCGAGCGAGCAGCGATCCGGAACATCGTTCTGAACTGACTTGCAAATTCCCGAGCTCTTGACGCTTAATGCGAATGCGAATGTTTTGAAGAAAGATTACCTTCAGATGTGTCATCGAATGCAGCAGAATAAGAAAAGGGGAGGAGAGACATGGGCTCGTCAAGAGAGTGATGGAGTGAGTTTGTAATTTGGCTTTTTTGGTGGATCGTGACGGATCTCCCGCGAGCACTTTTCGAGATCCGCACTGCTCTCGCTGTGCAAGATCCCGCGATATGTTTGTTTATTGTATGACTTGCATTTGTGCATGAGATGAGATGGAGTTATGTCGGAAGTGTTCGGAATCTTGATTATGAGTCGATGTGATGGGTTGGGTTGGGTTCCAGGCACTAGAGGATAGACAGAAGTGCACTTGATGTTGCCATTCGCCCAAAGCTCCCGGGAGTTTAGGAAATAGGGAGTCTATCCAGCGAGTTCCCCTTGTTGCTGGCTTCATGGGATTTAAGACATGACCACCGCGCGCACCTTGACGCCAAATTTGGAATAATTCTACGAGCTTAGTCGTCGGAACTACAGTAATGGCTTAGAGCTGAGAGGGATTTCAGCTGAGTTTCAAGAGTCAAGATTCAAGATTCAAGATTCTGTCCCAGCAAGACATGCAAGACATGTGAAGGGAAGGAAAATGCGAGCATCACGATCGATTGATTGATGGTGTTTGTTTGCCCTTTAGTTTCTTTCCATGGCTTTTGATCGGTTATCGTCCTTCTTCATGCTTTGTACTCCAGTTACAGTTCCACCGTCGTGAGGAGAACGCAGTTCTTTCAGTTGTTTGAGTTTTCATGACACATTCATTCGAGTAAAGTGGAAGATTCTGAAGTCGTGGAAAAGCGATTGCCTATGGATAGCGCCGTAATGTCAGCGGCTGCACAATACTGTGCAGATTGCAAAGCAAGCAGGCCACGATATGCAAGTACCACGTTAGGAATTTGGCTTTGCAATCGCTGCTACGGCATACACCGCAATGTTGGAGCGCATGTCACCCGGACTAAGTGTGTCGGACTCGACAGTTGGTCTACTCAGGAGCTGCACAGGATGAAATCCATCGGCAATGAGCGTGCTGCTTCGTACTGGGAAAGTATTTTTCTCCCTCAGAACTTATCGCCTCCTTGCTTACTTACTTATTTTGTCTTACAGTACCAACTCGGAAGCTGATTGCATACTTTTCAATCAGCTCCATCATCCCCTGAAGTTTTACCTCTTGTTTATGTGACTCTTGTCATAACATCAGACGATTTGGCGTCTTGCTTATGATTCTTAATAGTGAAATGTAGTAACCTCGTTGGTCATCATTAGGTTCATTTGATCTCATTTCGAGAGTGTAGAAACTGTTGCTACGTCTGTGTCGAAGTATACAGAAAAATCACAGATTACTGATGTTGCCGCATGCCATTCTGGTTATAGGTGCAGAACTAGAGAATGGCAGACAACGTGTTGCTGTTTCAGGATGGGGATATGTGCATTTAACTTGCTTAACTCTTGCTTAGTCAACTATTTTTACCCATTTCTTGTTAGTAGGTCGAAATCTTCAGAGAATTATCGAAAATATGGGAGCTGGATTAGTAATCAGTAAAATGATATCAAGATTTAATGTGCAGCAGAGGATGGATGAGATAATATGGACACTGGCATGACCGCGTATCATTATCATAATTTGCAAAATCTTATCATACTGAATGTTATGCCGATGAAAGTGTGGTATTTCTCGTCGGGATATAGAATGTCTTCGTAATCTGAAAGAGCTAGTGCACATTATCAATGAAATATCATAACCGATGTGTTTCCGTAGGAAGAGCAGATTTTGCTGATCTCAAGTGATATGCATGTATGTTGTCTATCCATTCATAACATGAGGTTGAGGAACTCGCCTTGAGATTTGCGATTTGGAGAACCATACAGAAATGATGTATGTTTGATTAACAGGCCAGGTGCCTGATGGTTATATTCGTCCAAGTCCGAAATCCACTAATGAGGAGGTAGAGAAGTGGATACGCGACAAGTACGAGAAGAAACTGTATTGTCCTCGGGACTCACCGCCCCCAAGCGTTCCTGAGCTTCCGGTGGGCATCTGATTTTACATGGCAGTTTGAATGTCCAACTAAACCTGTTCATTTGCAAAAGGGATCAAGAAATATCTTACTTGTGGAGAATTGTGTTTGATATAGTTGATTTTCTCTTCATATGAGAAACTCATACATGCAAATACTGATGACTACAGTTAGTACAGAAGCGACTTGTGTGTCCATGAAGAATTGCTGTCAGAAGGCCTTGGATCTTTCTAGTGTATGATCTCGTGGTCTTTGGAATCTATGTTTTCGCAGTTTTCTCTGCTCAATAGTGCTGCTCTGATCGTGGCTATCTCACAATCTATTGTGCAGGAGAAGCCCACGAGCTCCACACCTCATAGATATAAACAAGAACAAGGTGTCAATTTCAACATACCACTTCCTAGAATGAAAGTAATCCCGACTTCATCCGAGTCTGGCGTTGGTGGTGATGAAGATGAGTTCGGGAACTTCATGCAAGCACCATCTTGACCAGACTGATTTGGGCCTAGCCCCATCTTACTCCTTTGGTTTCACCTGTGTACGGCTTGATTGGGTGTCATGCCGATTTCGCTGAATCTGAACCCTCTTCATACCAGAAAATCTGTCGCAGGGCCCGGAGGAAGACCCCGCCTTTGATTTCTTGATTATGTGCAAGTCTGCCAGACGACTATGTACTTAGATAGAAGGCACCGATATTCGAATATGGCAAGTGAGGCCAGGTCGGCCAAGACTTTTCCTTGGAGGCTTTTAGGCCATGGCCAGTTATCATTTTTGTGAAGTGGAGTAAGTGTCAAAAATATTCAACTCTCGGGTTCTGTCACAATGTGATGAACTTCAGAGACGCAACACTCAAATCTAAATCGGAAACTTTTGATTGACTTGAACGGCCCAGCAGACATGAGGCGAGGAGTTTATTGCTGAGGTTTTAGTGCCGCAGTCGGTACTCGACTGCAGTAGCTGAGCGTTGTGTTAAGAAGCCCTCCGAGGTCCATTCCATGCTCGACAGAAGATATAAGAACGAAAGGCGGTGGAGGGATGATTTGAGTCAGAAAGCACGCGAATATAGCTTGAAATTTATGTCCAGGACACTTGTGAATGACGCTCGACATTTAAGATCATTATCGAGAAATTTGACAAATATTGTGGCTACAAAGTTAGAGGTTTGACTTTAGAACATGACACCGCTAAGCAACGGATCGAGTAGTTCTATGATTGAGTCTCTACATGTGACAACCAGGTAACATGTTCGTGGGACTAGACAGGATCACTTTATGCAGGACACTCGTGTCCACTCATTATCTCTCGAGAACATTTGCCGAAGTGACGTCTGCTAAACAGAAAAATGTCGACGCGACATGTGCAGGCATTGTCAGGAAATTTCGCCCATGTCACATGGTGAAGTACCCTCTCGTTCCATAAATTGGGTGGGCGAGCAAAGACTAAATCAGACTGAACTTCGCTACAGTCCAAACCAAATTTAGAGGAAGAGATGGTTTTCTTATTCAGAAATGACTCTTTTGGTCCATGAACTTGTCGCCGTCTGCACTTTATTGTTACTTTAATGAACATCTTTGAAGATCGCACAGATCTCACTGCCTGCGATCGATTAAAAAACTTCACGTTCTTCTTCTCCCGCTCTGATCGAACTAAAGTAGTCAAGAAACTCTTCGTTGCACCGGGAAAGAGACCGAAGAGGCGGTGGAGTGCAGAGTGTTTACGAAGCTGCTCGTTTGAGGGTCAACACGGCTCCTGTGAGGAGGACACCAGGCGAGGCGAGTGATGCTGAGGCAGTAGCGATCTGATTACGCAGGTTTGTTCCCATGTAGTCAGAGCCTGCCAGGTTTCTTCTGGTTGTGCTCGAGGCCGGCAACGACCATATACAGAGTTCGAGGAACTCTAAGAGATCCCAATGCCTTGCACTTCTTTACTTGGGACTGTGGAACTTTGGATTCCGACTGAGATTCATGTGCTCGTTTCCTTTGCTCGAGGAAAGTTTTATGTTCTCAGCACTTGAGGACATTTGGGTCAAGGTGCAGAGGCCAGCCAGTGAGTGAAACTTTGTCGAAGTTTTGATGGACGTTGTGGCGTATTTTCGTGCTCGTGCTCGCTATCGTTCGTAGAGATCGAAGAGCGACAACGAAGAGATCAAGTGGGAGAAACTCCAGCGAGAAGTTTGGCTTCAGCGAGACAGAACGGCGAGATGGTGGTGCAAGGTGCTGGTTCAGTTGCCCGTGGCGACCAGCCTTTGTTCTGGACGCGTGCCAAGTCCTCAGAGTCGGACGGCATTGTAGTAGTTACGGCCTGGGTTTTTTCGAAGCCCCGGCAGCTGGAGCACTACTCTCGCTTCTATGCTTCAAGTAATTGGGATTCTCTCATTTGCCATCCGAAAGTCTTCAACCTGTTCGTTTCAATCCCCGACTTTACTTGCTCCATTTTCTTCGATTTCTTCGTTCAGTATGCATCAATCAATTAGAGCTTTAGAATAAGTGAATGGTCGGCTCCCTGGTTTTTCAAAGTTTTGCTTGTGGGAAATCTTTCCTGATATCAGACGCCAGATAACGGAGTAATTCATGTGCCAGTGTTTCGTGAACAAAAATTCGGTTCATGTCTACATGGCTCCATTGATAGCGTAGTCAAGCTGCTTTTCCTTGTCTGCGTCGGTAGGCTAAGGGACTTTCAGCAGCTGATTTACGTGGTGATCGTCCCATATTTTACAGCTGGTTTCCAGAGTTGGCCAAGAACTTAGCTCTACAAGTGCTCGATGAATTGGCTCAGGTCAGAACGTCCTTGCCTTCTTAGGTCTTCACTTTCTCCATAATTTTGTGAAACAGCCGCCTTTACGATTTCGCCATGAAACGCACACGTGCGTGTGCGTTGTAAGATCCAAATCAGCCCGGTCGGCTGCTCACTAAAACTGTCCAGGGTCGGGAGCTTAAGAAAGTTTCAACTAACAATAGCTTTATCCTACATATTCAAACAGGAGCTCGAGAAGAGGCCGAGACCTGTTGTTTTCGCTACATTCTCTGGCGGGTACTTGACCTGCTTGTGGAAGATTTTCCAGGTGATTGAAAAGATCTTTATATTTAATACAAATAGTTTAGGAGTAGGAGGTAACAGTCGAGAAGCTAATAACTAATTACGCATCTCAGCATTCCAAACTCATTTAGATGTGGCATTATCCAATCAAGGCAACAGAAACTGATTATGAATCAATCTTTGGCCCCTATTTCTGAAATTTCTGGACGATCTCGTCCGCAGATACTCCAGGGTACGTGCGTGGATGTAGACTGCACGTTGGTGCGTTCACCAATCCATATCTGCGATGGCAGAAGCTGGTGTCGTTTTGAACATTGGAAGTAGACTTCCTGGACAGACTTGATTTGCAGTTTGCGTGCTAGATATCGTTAGCACAGCCAGACTCGTTATCCAGAGTTATATCCAAGATGGTCAGGTTATGTCAGGGTATTATTATCTTGACACTTTAACAAGTGTCAAGATAATTTAACTGGTATTTCGTCAGATTGTTTATTCCGCAGTTGGTGTTGATGGTGTTATCAAGATGGCTTACGCGGTCTAACATTTCAGTTGCAATAAGCTATGGTGTAGGAAATGTACAAAACCGTAAGGAAATGCTATGCTGGTCAGATACATGATTCAAGTCCAGCAGATTTTAATAGCAAGATCGGAGCAAATATGGCCAGCCACCCATCAGTTCTGAACACTCGGAAGAGAGTGGCAGTCGTGACTTGGGCTGCTCATGCTACTGCGAAATTGCTGGACTCTATCTGGCTGAAGAGATTTGAGGCGCAGAACAAGGAGCTGTGGACTACGCTCTACAAATCTGGGGTATACTTTGAGTCTCACACTTTATGCTTTGACACTGCTCCATAGAAGGACTGAGAAACTTAGAAAAACAAGTATGCGCGTTTATTGTGCTCTTTATAGATTTTACCAGGGACTTGCATTGAAGAAGTGAAGCTTGCCAGGAAATGGGTCCTATCATGGTTCTGTGCTCCAAGGATGATGACATCGTTCCATTCAACATCATTGAAGATTTTTGCTCCAGGATGACTGATCTTGGTTGCAAAGTAACGATGATTGCGTGGGAGAAGTCGGCTCATGTCGGTAAGACGAAGCCACTCGTATTTGCGCATCTTCAAGATTTCAAATTGTACAACGCTAGGGGTTTATGTTCTTGCCTTCAACTTGGTCTATGGATCACTCTTCTCACTTTCGTGAAGAAAAGGAATCCATTATCATTATATAATGAGGAACCTCTTGTGGGTCATTTCTTCATCACGAGATGTCTCTTCAGTAGCTGGACATACTTTCTCTGTCAAAAAGGCTTCAGACAAGAACACGGTTGGGATTTTCTGTGAGTTTCCAGTTTTGCTACACTATGGAGCCTTGACTGAGTTATCTTGGATATGCTGCAGATCACTTCAGAAGGCATACAGATGAATACAAGCATGCGGTGCGTTCTTTCCTAGAAACCGCAAAGACGTCACGTGCGGCCTCGATAGGCTTACGTCCTGAAAAATGCTCTGTAGGTTTTGTGGAAGCAAACCACGTGAACGGGGTATATCGATGTTTTCAACCAGATTTATGCTCGTCAGCTGGTTTGCACAGAGTGGAAGACGCTAGCCCGAAATTAGAAACTCGAAACAAGTTATTCCCTGGAACAATGTCAAGACTTTAGCCACTCTAGTGGGAGCGAAGCAGCTGGCACTAGCTTTTGGCCAAAGCAGCAGTGAATTTGATGGACTTGGAAAGCTGTGGATTAGGCGTCAGCGTGGCGAATCAGCCCCGGCCACGGAACGAGGACTTGAAGCTCATACAGCGGACTCCATGTCCAAAGTTACAGGAGGAGAACTTAATCCTCTTTTGGTTACGAGCTGAGTACAAGTTATGTTTGCATAGAAAATGCGTTCGCAATCCGATCACTTTTTTTTAACAGTAAATCCAAGAAAAACCTTCAGACATTTTATACGTTTCTCGAGCTGAGAAACATTGATTGATAGCACAGCAAAGCGCAGTAAAATATTCTCCATTATGACCCAACATGACCAGATGGCAATATTCTCAATACGTTCATTCACGTTCGTTGGTCAATCTATTCGGAATGAAATAACGTTTATTAGAAAAGACAGTTTCTCATTTGGTCGGACAACCATCCACCAATGCAATGTAATGGAAAGTACAAATATAATCTACAAAACCTCCTCTGACCAAAACCTGTCTGCTTAGTTCGGAGGAGATGTCTGCGCTGGCGACATTCAGATACAAAAGAATACAATTAAGTGAATCCGTTTTGCCCGATATTGCATAAAGTCCTAACAGACTCTAGGCTGCCGTTTGTGTTGTGCGTCTTGTAAAGTAATTTTATCTCAAAAAGCTTCGGCCACATCTTTCCCGTAACTGCAGAAGACAAAAGTAATTCAATGCTCATTATGTAAGTACACCCTGATGTTGAATTACTGTACATCTGCAGTTTACACCATCACTATCACATACTCTGATGAGGTGCAAACATCACAATTGGAGACGTGAGATCCTTGGAGCAGCCTCGATTTCTCTAATGAGCACTCGGTAACGTTTGAGATCGAGAACCCATTGGAGCTATTGTTAAATGAACCCTTATTTTCAAACAAAAACCTATATCAAGTATGCATTAATGCGAAAGCAATAAATCATGTGTAGATAAACGAATACCGAAGCACAGCGAAAGTCTCAACGAGGCAGTTGACAAACCATCAGGAAGTAAATTCACTCACCATACAACTTGTCTCCTTCTTTGTCCCAAGCGATACCATTCAGCACGTCCATGTTCTGTTGTGATACAAGGGAGGTTTCAGTCTTGACATTCTCGAGACCGCAAGGATACATAACAATCTCACATACAGAACTTGTGATTCTTGCAAATACAGGACACTGAGGGGTCGATTGAAGATTTTACCTGAGCACCCCTAGCTAGAAGCGAACTTCTGCAATCCATTCAACAAATCATCAGAAACTTCCTTTCGCCAAGATTATGTTTTCGTGCCAATATCACAGATAATAAAAACTACAATAATAGAGACGATGATCAAGGGCAAAGTCCTAGTAGGATAAGAAATTGACCCTTCGTACTGGTGAAGTGAGCAAAACATGCGGGGGGGCATGCCCGGAGGGCGGAGCACTGTCTGACCGCATGCTTTCAAAAAAAGAACAAAATTGACGCGGTGCTGCACTGATGAAAGTCCTATTGCTAAATGTTGCTTTCTCTCTCCTGCGAATGACAGTGGAAGAATTGGAGACCTTGGTGGAAAGGCTTTGCCAAGTTTACCTCTCGGACTAAGAGGCTAGCTTGCCTGGTCATATACTGCTGAAAATGTCAAGAACCTACAAAAACTGGGAGGTTTAGGACCTACCTCAAACCCTGTAGAAGAATCCAGCCAGTAACTTTTCCGTTGTCAGGTGAAATGCGCGCAATGCATTCTCCCTGGATAACCACGAACCACATCTTCAGACAGTATATATGACCTTTCAAGATCTGCCGTGAATGCTGGAATGGTAGAACAGGAGCTATGTAGTACATGCAAATCCTTTCATTCCAAGAGCTAAATACTCATTATTCTTCGGTGCACAGCCGAGCGATCCACCGCAACAACAGTACTTAAACAAGTTTGATCTCTTCATCATCTGACACTTCGAAAATGATCGATCGCACAACCCTTGGCGTCAAATTCCTGAGACAATACATACCTGCCATATATTTGCCCAAATTTCCCCATTCACAAACTCAAGTTCGTTGAGCCATCCCACTTCTTTATCTTCATCCTTAACTGTCAAGACCTTGACGTCTGCATGCACCATAGACCTTTCCTCCGTTAGTGGGCAAACTTGAGTCTACACATCCGTTTGGAAAGCTTGAACTTGTTGGTGCTAGAGATGCCTAGATCCACATGGTTAGACACACGGTGATGCACTTGCGAGTATTCTGGCGTTCAAGAGAAAATGAAAGCCAACTCCAACATCAGCAACCAACATTGATAGAGCAGACATAACAACCAGTGGCTCTAGTTTTCTTTCAAATGTCGCCCTTGTACACATAATCTAGACCTACGTTGATGGAATTTCCGATAATGAAACGTCCGGACCTTCAAATGTCTCCGGCTTCATGAAGTAGAGTTTGGCTGTTCCATCACTGCCTATGATGTGTTCGTCACTAGTAGTTAGGCCCCATCCATCTGTCATGTGATGAGATATCTGCCCCTTCTGCACAGATACCATTTGCAAATAAAAACTCTCGGACTCAGGTACAGTCTGTTCGAGCTGAGATCCGTTTGCAGCTTCTATCGAGCATACCTTCTCTTAAGAACGACACAGAGCGTTTACTTGACTATGACCGACGACTTCCGGCTCGGTCTATCCGTATCGCCCAGGAAGCTTTTAACCGTTTCAACCATAATCCTTTACTACCGAGGCGCGGAGAAGTGTCCGAAACACATCTCCCGAGGAATGCAGACTTTGCTCTATACTGACCACAAGGAAACACTACTTGCCCATTTCCTCCAAAGGGATCCCAGAGCATACTCACAGGGAGAAGGGTTTTCTGATCATAGATGAAGACTTTCTGATTTCTCCAAGTCACCTGCAATAATCTGGAGATCATGTCCGGTAAGAAATCCCGACACCGAATTTTCTGTGCGTAGATGTAAACGGGGATGACTCCTACCGATCGCAGCCTCTTCGTGATGCATAAGTGGGAAATTTTACGCACCTGTCCTTCCAGAGGGTTAATCCTTCTCCAAATTCGCTAGCACTCATCCGTTGCGCCCGCCGCACCTGGCCTCTATCCACATCGTTATGGCTACGTTAACATCTGACAGGTCACGTTGAATTGCATCGGATTTTATGACCGAGAGACACTTGTGACGAAATCCTATCGACTGATAACTCAAACATTCTATTAATTCTCCGATACTCCATCAACTTCTGTAGCGTTCTGAAATCTAAACTTACAAATTCTGGAAGGACAAATTAGGACAGACTCTGGGGCCGAAAGGCTGATTCTTCAAAGTGAGGGAAAAGACGTCAAGAGAAGCAGCAGCTTCGCTGCACAAGACTGGTTCAGTGAATGAGTCGTTTGCCCACCTTTCCTGTTAGCAGATCTACCTCCCGCACTGTCGACTGTAGTTGAGGAAGCCAGGAACGAAGCAGTTAGTCAAATGTGCACCGGCCACATGAAGAATGCACATGAAGAAAAGGAAGAGATGGTAAGACAGGCAGACAGGCAGATGGTGTTTGAGAAAGTTCCAAAAAGTAATATGCTTCAACAGGTACTACCTGCCCGTAGAGTCCCGTGGATTCATAAAGTGTTCCATTGCCAGAATACAGAAGGCCCTGCATGAGTTGCAAATCCGTCAATCAGCCAGCAACCCCTCCCTTCTTGGGCGAGCCCTGATGTGGTTCCCTCGAGGAATTCACACGGTTCTAGAGTTGGGGACTTCTCGAGTGAAGCTCTATCGACATCTTCACCGAGGTACGCTGCAGCTAGAATTCCCACACACAAAAACACATGGATTCGCCGGCTCCCACAATCGTAAACTAAGCTGACTAGAATCGTGGGCAAATTTAAAATGCGTCACGATCGATCGGGGAAGACAAATCAGTAGGCGTAGATGTGGCAACCCAAGAGGACCTATGACATGACTTGCCAGGATGACCGACCAACCGACCTGGGTGAATGCTCGCGGGTCGTGATCATACTCGCGGACAATTTCATACCCATAGACACTGACGGCATCACCATCTTCTTGAGCTCGGCGCATCTCCTTCTCCTCCTGCTCCTCCCCCTCGCCTCCCCCGCTGGCATCCAGCTCGTCCATGGCGAAGCTCCCGGAGCCATCGAGCTCTTGAGATTGAGAAACATGCGAACCTCGGAAGGTGAAGCCGAACAGAATGAAAAAGGCCACGAGAGAAGCCGCCAACAAGCTTACCACGAACTTGGACCCAGTACAGGACGCTCCGCCCGCCCCTCCGGCCGCTCCAGCTCTGTGCTTGCGCATTGCACCAGCTCCAGCTCCAGCTGCAGCTGCAGCTCCTGTCGCTCCTCGACGAGACCGAGCGAGAACAGCCTTTTGGGGCCGAGCAAATGAAGCCATGCGCCGTGCTACCGGCCCAGGCCTGGCCTTGTACCCGAGTGGTACCCCTGAATCATAACCAAATCCCCCGCGGGTCCCAACAACAGAATTTCCCGTCCACGGACTCGGACTCGGACTCTTGGAGCACAAGTCAACCGACGCTTTGAGACCCCGAGCAAGAAAGGTCGACAGCATCATAAGATCATCATCCGGTTAGTTGCAATTCACCTCCCTCGTCGCACGGCATCACGTCCTCCTCAATCCCGTCTTCCCTGACCTCGACAGTACAGGCATAGAATTCCGATCAAATGAGCAGAGGCAACGACAATTTCTTCTGGTTCTGACAGGTGTCCTTACATCCATTCTGAGCTCTCGTTCTTTCCGACTTCTTCTGTATTCATGATGAACCTCGACATCATGAATACTTGTGACCTACACGGCGTTGTCAGCTTAAATTGTTGTAATCCGTGAATACAAAACTTTAGCTTAGCCTGGTTCAAGGCACTTTCTGCTCTCGTGACGGAGTTCTGAGAAATGGGATGGATTCTAAACCACAGCTACTCGATACTCATTTTGGAATCGGTTGAAGAATTGGGAACGATGCTGATGACTTGTACATAGTTGGGATCAGGTGTTACAATTGTCTCGACCTCGTGTAATTATCACATGTGCCAGGCTGCTCTCCTTGGGAATGATTCAAGTGTGGACCTTCAACTTTGGGTCAGTTGCACCAACAGTTGACGTGATACTCGTCAGAACTCAAGTGAATAAAGGAGGCACTCTACGGATTCGGTTTGATTTTCTCCCCCGACCATATTAGGGGGTTCGAGCGCGAATGTGAAAAGGCAAGAATAAAACAGGAACAGAAAGAGTTACAAGACTTCGCCGCTGGCAATTGCAAAGCATGACACTAAGTGATTACGATCTACCAGATTTCCGGCTCTTCGTCTGTGATATGAGCATTTGTTGTTCTTCACAAACATTTCTCTCGATTTCCGACTTGCCGAAGGTCGTGTACGGAGTCATGCTATACTCACCCTGCTCAAGATCTTCATTTCCTCCTGTTTGCATCATCCGAAGAGGTTCAAAAGTATTCGCCACAATTTCTTAACAGCTGTATTTCCTCTAAAAATCACCGTACTTACTCAGCTTGCGGAACGACTTCACATCTTCGAAGGACGACCTAGCCAAAATGATAGCATAGCAGATCTCTACGAGGTGGAACCAGCAACGAATATATCGACCAATGTCTCACTTTCTATTGACATAACGCTCGCCCCACCAACCCCCGGTCGGACACACTGGCCACAACAGTTTAACACCGAGACTGACATTCATCATACCACATAGCGCCAGATATGCTTCACGATAGAAAGAAACATGATCATTATAGAGTCACCTGTGGCATAAGTGGTGAGCAGAAATTTAGGGTTTCATCAGAAACTTTTAATCACGGAGGTTAGAGTTCGAATTTATGCATTTGTACTCGAGGTCTTCGTGTCAGTGTGTACATTCACCTGCGCATGTGAAGATGTCACCATCATCTGGGTCATTAACAACCATTCAATATCACTGATGGGAAGGAGTGGAGTTTTGCTCCTAAAGGGCTAAAACATGCCTTTGATGCCCACATTAATTACAAGATTAATTATTTCAAGGCCTGCAGATTTTACTTCATGAGACTACAAAAGAAGCAGGACCTTGGCCGAGAAGCTGGAATTAGAAGACAGTTAATTGATGAGTCTCTAAAACGGCGCTCAACCACCAGTCACTGACGGGACCAGGAGGTGGAAAGAAGCTGCAACAGAATTTCAATGGCTCTTGCACAGTCTTGCCCTTCAAATATATCCTCTATCACAGAGCAGAACAGCTCTTATTTCATATAATTCGCCTGTTCAACAAGCATTTGAATTACGGGAAGAGCATGTATAGGTGCTCTTCATCGATTGCTCAAATGACCAAACGAGCCTAGAGTGAGTCAACTACAACCCTATTTAGCAAAAAACCTACGTGTACGCAGCCTTAAAGAACGCAGTACTGAAGCCAATGAGGTGATAGGACTAATGGTATCTGTCAACTACAATCTAGTAGTTGAATACTATTAATGGCTGGTAAAAATACAAACTCTCATATGCATGATATATGCACTGATCTGATGAATTTCCAGTAACCGTTTGCAAAAGGGGCAGTGTCTTTCACTGACCCGACTCTACTCAGTCAAAAACTGCATTTCGACGTCTAATCTATCATACACTTCCAAGAGCCGAGCAGTACTGTCACAGCAGGCCATGGAACGAACTCTACGCCGAAAGCTGATATCCATAGTTCTACAGGTTATGCCTCTAAACTACGGTAGTTCCTCCAAATGCTTGGTAATAACCTCGGGACAGGAATCTGATCGAAGTAGCTCCAATCTGTTTGCATTGGGTAGAAACCGTAGCAAGTAGTCTTCATCTGAGTCCAGCCAACAGAGGGTAAGTACCGGTGATCTCAAGCCCTTTAATTATGCCAAATTTGAACAAAAAGAGGAGCGTACAATATGTATAGAAGATGTACTTACTTTCTTTCACGCTGCCATACAGCCAACAGAAGACTTGGTCGGCAAATGCCAGGCAAACACCACCCTGTCAAGGCAATCTTACAAGTCAGGTAGGTGGGACGAGGATAACAAACAACCGCTTGCCACGGTAATTTGGATCGAATCGACAACTTCCAAGGACAAAGACCTCGAGTGAGACATAAAGCGTCTGATTAATCAGAGGATCTGGTCTCGTTTTTGCGTTCGAAACTCTCAAGAAAAAAGACCACAAAGCAGACTATACCTCCCAATAATGCTTGACTTTGACTCTCTGGGTTATCTCTTTTGTGCTCATCATTTCAGTGCGCACTATCCTGCCGTCGTCATCCCTATAGACCAATATTTAACATTTGCGAGCCCAAGTCAGTACTCGAGAATTATGCAAAAGTTTGTAACTCATTTATCCTCTAGAATCGATTGCAAATGTTCAACATTTCTGTAGAAAGTTGTAATAGGGTTCGTATATATTTCTTGTACCTGAAACCGCAAACTATGCGTGGCACTCCTGCCAAGAATGATTGAATCTGCAGAGACAAGGAGAAAATGAAATTCCAACCTTACACTTCCCAGCTTTCAAAAAAACCACAAGATAGAAATTCCAATTCAAGGCCTGCGTTGATGTTCCCATGTGTTGCGCATGTTAATCAGTACTAACCCAAAATTTGAGAAGCTTCTCCCGCTCAAACCTGTCGATGGTGCGAGCGTCGAGCTGAAAAGAGAGAAGGATTAATGGATTAATGGATTAAAATAAACTTAAGCTACAAAAGGGAACTCGAAGTCTATTTATCCAAGACGAGATCTCACATAGACACATGCGGAAAAAATAAGCAAATTATTGTGGCTGAATGAAATTAAGCTCTTCTTCAGACCTCACGGTTAGTCTTCAACTCGATGTAAGTCTTCTTCCCATCTCGACCTATATCATAACAATCCATTTCCGCACCCATAACGAACCGATGGGGACCAATCTTAGTGCGGATAACTGCACAATACTCCACGTTGGCATCTACCACAATTTCTTCATTGGCTCCTCTCTTGCTAGCTCCATTCGCGGATTTTGAAGAACTCCGCTGTTCAGTAGCCAGGCGCTCGAAGGAGTAACCCCAGTAACTACTGTAGAAGCGGAGAAAACCTACTGTGAGCGAACTTCTTAGAAGAAGCCAATTGCAGTTTCGTTCTAGTGCTATCCAGCGAAGACGCAAGCAGGTAAACCGAACAATCTGGGCTCTAAATAGGTGTTCCAAGCATGGAAGACATATGCGAAGTTTGCTGCTTGGAAGGTCTATAAGCTGATAAGTAATAGAAGCTAATGCGGTCTCCACTCACCACTTCCGTTGTTGTTCAGACTGATTGTGCTCTGGGGTTTTGCGCACAAAGAGGTAAACGGTATTACGCCTTTTGTGGACTCCCATCTCCCATGGATCCGACCTGTTGTATGCAGTCCCGAGAATCTGCGTTGAAAATCAAGGAAACTGAATATTCTGCTCTTACTAGCCTATTCCAAATACAGGGCGAGTACATCCCTAAGACATTACCAAGCGCATACTCAACACTGTAATGAAGTAAGTGCATGTTGACTTGTGACTGCTTCCTTCAAAAGGACTTGTTCCAGACACGAGGATCCAGAGAAATTCTTTTTTTAGAAAAAATACAAATATCAGAAACTCCAATTGCTGCATCACTTCCACGAAAAGAGCATTGCTCAAGCAGAGAACAAGTCCACAGTGACTGAAGAACTGGCTCAGGTTGCAGCGCAGCTCCTCACCTTATTCAGGTTGTTGCGAAACGTCTGCGACACCACGCGACCCGCCCAATCAATCACTATGATGTCAGGATCATGCTGGAGGGGGCTCACAAAGACCGCAGACAAGCTACATGGCAGAGCCAGAACAAAAAAATCCATCAAGAGGCACGGCTACTTGCCACAAAGTGAATGTTGTCAAGAGGAGGTCCGTTCTTCCTCAGGCAAGCCAGTAGATCCCCAAATCCAGAACCATCGTTATCTGTTTCGATATACCAAAAAGTGCTCCGTAAGAAGAAAGCAAAACAGTGGCAAGTAGACGTGAGCAGCCTCCTCTCGACACAGAGGACGGTAACGTTGAGGAAAAAGAAAGATAGAGTTACCAAGTTACCAGAAACGTTGAGAAATAAAATAAAGACAACCAATCAGCAAAAAGTCTTTCATATATAAAAGTTTTGTTTCTTTTTTTCAATTCCATATATGTACAAAAATCTGTTGTGAAAATTTTGAAGTGTCAATTGTACCATCCATCTAACTTCGCAAACCCACCATCCATGGGCAATCTCCCTTACCTTCCGTCTTCTCAACAAATGATTCAAAGCCTTCATTCAAGTCGGCTCCGTACTCATTCAAGACATCTTGACGAAATCTTCTCTGAAAGATAAACACTACTGTACGATCAAATCCGTTTCGATGACAGCAATAATTCAATTGTAAACTGAGTTCAAACGCATCTCAGCTCAACATAATATATATCGTGATCTCACCACAACCGAACTGTCAATTATCGCTATTCTTTCGGGCCACAAAGTGTTAGACACGAATGAAAAAAGATTCAACTGCCCGGACGAGAACCAAATCTGGAACAAGCGCAGTCCCGGCGTTCAGTAATTTGGAGCTCAACAGGAGAAACAACATACGAAGGATCACAAGAGTCTTACCAGACCCCGGTCGTCCATGTGTACGCTACCATCGCGCATCCGGCTATAGCACGCGAGCTCAGACGGCTGAATCCAGCACCAAAAGGCAAGCAACAAAATGAAGATGGAAGCTATCGTTAGTTCCACAACAATTAGCACACTGTCCTCCGATCATCTTCTATCGTCCTGTCTTCTTCAAAACACAAAGCTGGCGAAATGGCATTTCCGGTATACCTCTTGAACTTGGGGGCATTTGTTGCGCAAATTAGCATCATTGTGACCTGTAGCTCCGAGCTTCATTTCGGCAACAAGATTTTCGTTGACGAAGCGCCGCCCTCCACCAGGTGCCCCTCCGCCGGAGTTATTGTGCCTCATGTGACGAGGCCCACCCCCACCTCCATAACCTCCTCCGCCATACCGATCTCGGTCTCCTCCCCTATCACCACCGTGTCTTCCACCTCTGCCACCACCAAGTCTTCCACCTCCATGCCTCCCTCCACCGCCTCCGCCACCGCCACCACCAGACGCTTCATGATAGTCTTGTCTCTTAGGAAAACTTATGGGTGGAGGTAGTCCTGGAGATGAACAACATTCGGCACGTGAGGAGCTTTCATATCCTTCGGACTGTGAGGAGACTGTAAACTACGGTAGCACCAGTGGTTGCTTGGTCGATGGTCGAGGAAGCTTCTAATCTCCATGCATATTTCAACTCACACTTTCCCACTCAAAGCCACAGTGGGATTCCGGATTAACAAAGTATCCGGAATTCGCGTGAACCTGGTCTGATAACCTTACGGAAGTCAGACAGAAAATCAGGAAATCATAGCTGTTGGCTTTCTCATGGTAAAATGTCGTGTGCACCCTTGGATTCAACACCAGACATCGCAATTTTTAATCTCCAAGTACGCCGGAAGGCAGCAAGCCCTCCCTACAGCTCATGCTTCTCAAGAATCCAGCAAAGCACAGGAGATGGAAAGTGGTCCAGGGCTTACGAGGAGGCTTCAAAGCACTAACGGCTTTCGTCTTCGCATAGTCTTCATCATCAGAATCAAAAAGATCCTTCTCCTCTTCCTCCTCCTCGGGCTGATTGTAATCTTCTTCCACTTCTATGATCTCTTCGTCAATATCTACATCTTCCTCAACTTCCTCCTCCTCTTCCTCTTCTTCGTCGTCGTCCTCAACTTCAACATCTTCCTCGTCCTCATTTGTTGCCCTCATCGCTTCCTCGGATCGGCCACCTTTTCAGCAACAACGGCAACGAAGCGAAACGAGGGAAATTCCCCCCGGAGGAAGTGCCTCCGGTCCCTACCACAGGCAGGCCCTCCTCAGGACCTCTTCCTCATTTCAGCGCTTCCGCTCCTCACGAGTACTTTCAGAACTCGTGAACCTCGTCCAGAATCAAGCCCCCCAAAAAACCCCCCGAATCTGAACCGAAGAAATTCACGATCCTTCCAGCAACCAACTGATCGTCCCCCGCTCCCTCCGACGAGAACTCGGTCGACGCGTTCGAAAATGTTTTATTCGCCACCTCACCAGCTTCGTGTTTCTAGTCTAACCAGACTCGTCGAATATCCTTCGAAAAAGCCCGAGCCACAGACGTCGAACTCCCTGTAACAAACAGCCCTAAATTATTGTCGGATCGATTTCTTCCCGTCCCGAGGGACCGAAAATCCCTCTCCACTCCAGAATCGCTGCGAGTCCCCAAATCTACCCTTATCCTGCTTCTCCCGCACTGACTATTCCTGTTCCGGCTTCAAATGAATGCAACCGCTCCCGAAATTCCTCTGTTCCTCCGCGCACCCACTGCCTCCTTCGTCGTCGTTCGTCGTTCGTCGTCGTCGACGAACGAAAGCGCATCCGAGCGAAGCACAGGACACATTCTGCGCCACGCTCTTACCCGTTGCCTCGGCCCGCTGCCCACACTGTAACTATTGTCACTGACTGTGTTTCCTCGACTGAACTGCGACGCTCCCACGGTCGCGTACTGTACCGGATCCATGTGCCATTCTTCGCCGACCTCCAATGCCTCCCTCCGATCCTTTCTCCGGCTTCCGTGAAAATCCGATTCGACCGAATGTGTCCCTTTCTTCGGTTCTTTTGTTTCCAGCGATGCATTTGCATCATTACTTCATCGTGAATTATATTTCTTCAAGTTTTTTCGTTCGAAGAATGGTTTTTTTCCTGAAGTAAAAAGAGATTGTACTGGAATGCAACGAGAGTGTTTCGCTAGGGATTGGCCTTTGGGGTGTTTTCACTTGTTTTTGGGGTGTTTTCACTTGTTTGTGGTTATTGCTTGTATTGTGTTTTTCAGCCTTTTAACCCTTTGGGTCCCCGGGCTTGATCTGTTACCATTTTTACTTTCTATCTTGTTTCAAATACAATCTTTGACATTTGTTAGATCTTCTTCTTTTATTTGTGAAAGATAATAAGAATTTCCTTCTTACTTTGGAGATATATTTTCCATTTTTAACATCCTAGGTCAGATGTCTCATTATATACGACTATTTCTACTTTGTTTGAAAACATCATCTGCCATTTTTCAAAATTTCAAATATTCAGTAATGCATGGAGTCATAATCTTAATATTTGATCTTTTCTATATTATTTTTAAGAAACATAACGGTGCCATTCTTCTTCTTTTTTCTCGGAATGAGGCTAAATGAGATATTCTGAAATAACGTTACTTTCAAGATGAACATTCAAGAACAATTAAAATTTTGAACAATCCATTGAACAATATACATCAGTTTTAAAACCAAACCTTTAAATTTTCACTAAGATTGTGATTATATTTTCAAATCGTCATTTCTTCTGTATACACAAGTTTATGCATTCCAAATCCTGCACACGGTTATTTTTGAAAACAATCTGTAGATATGTTTTGAAATTAAAACTAAATTTTAAGTTTCAATGTGGTGAATAAGATGTCATATGTTTAACAAATACCTGCTACACATAATGAAATATCGATATTTTTAGAAAAATATAACGTTCAAAAATTAGTGTCATGTTCTTGAAACATGTAATAACTGCAAGAGCATATATGCAATGAACATGTACACTTTGAATTCTACTTGAATATTTTAATGTTCAAAATAATCTAAAATTCCGAAGTTTACTAAGTACTGCATATGATTACTTTAAGAAATATCGAAATATTTCGCTAAAACATATCATTATCATACACTTAATTATTTTTTCCAATTTTTTCAACATTGATATATTCAAATTGCATATAATTTGCAATTCACATCAAACAAGCTACATATAATCAAATTTTACAACACGGCTATCAGAAAAAATTTTCCAATATTGAACATTTAAATCCCCCCTAGATATTTTTCTGAAAGAATTTAATTTCAAGAAAATTGTATATGACATCATCATGATACATAAAAATTTTTCACTAAAAACACAATTATGTACAATATCATCATTTTTCTGTGTAAAAATTAAAATTTTTACTACTTTTCCTACAATAATAAAATTTATGAAAGAAGATATATCTTAATAATTTTGTGAGCTTCGTGCACATACTTTTTATTTACTCATAAATTATATAAATGATCAACATTAGCAAAAAAAATTTAATGATAAAGTGTAATTAAATGCATGATGTATTCAGATTTTTACATTTTAATTTTCTTAAGTATTATATTTTAGAAAAAAATGCATCTGTTTCAAATTTAAGCTGCTTAAATTAATTAAAATAATATTGGAATACATAGTAATGTACTTTTGACATGTTTATGATCATGAACATATCAAAGTATGCATGTATAGTCTACGATATCAGCGTTTTTAGTTTACAGTCTAACATGTTAAACTTCTTATATTCAAATTGCTCTTCACAATACAATAATGAGTGAGGTACATAGAAAAGCATGTAGTGAAAACTTTAATTCTTGATTTTTATTTTTAATCATTGTTGTGTTGTCTACCAATATTTTATATTTGTTTGAAATATTTTTTTTGAATTTAACACCTTGTTTACATATATTGAAACAATATTTAATGATTCATATGCAATCATATCACTATTAAAAGAAATCCTATCTTATTTGAATTAATTGTGAACAAATTTTTCAATCAATAGATGAGAAAATTAATTAATAAATAATCTTGATAAGATTGGAGTATTTGGAATCCAAAGTGAATAACATCTTTAAATATAATGACAAAATATTATTTCTATTTATCCAAGTTATGTTTAATATATGTGAAAATATAGTGATTTAAAGAATGAGTACAACACAGCAGTTTTTGAATCAAACTTTATAATCTTGATTATTTGAAACTATAAAAAATGTATAATATGAATTTTTTGTGTGTTGATTTTTTTAACCTCAAACAACATAATAAAATTTCAAATTACATACATGTCACAATGAACAAAAAAATTAAAGTCATGATAATTACTTTTATATTGCAAAGCTATAGAGTATATTCAAAACAAAATCAATGACTTTTCAACATATGAAAAAATCACATTCATCAGATGTCACTTCATTTTTTGATAAAATATTTCAAATAATAAATTAAGTTGAATTTTGAATGCAAATGTGTTGTGATAAAAAAAATTTGTTTCAAAAATTTATGCTATAAAAAATGTCATAATTGTAAATATTCTGATTTCATTAATAAACTTCTAGTATTCAGATGTACTACTGAAATCATCTTTCTTGAAAGAAAAATCATAAAGTTGTATTACCAGGAAAAAGAAGCTAAATATTTTAATGAATTCAAAATAAATCATAAAATCTAACTTTTAAGGATATTCATTTTCCATTCATTTATATTAAAAAATAATTATTATGTTGAAATGTACAAAAATAGATCAACATAAATATCACAATCTGAGATTTCAACTAATTTATTGAATTAAATGAGGTCAATAAAACTCAATACAAGTTTCGAAATATTATTATGTTTTATTTTCATGTTTAATTGTATACTATGTTGATTTAAAGATGACAATAGAATAAATTGCAGGTATGACCAAGAAGTTTTAATTGCAATGTAATTGACAAGGACTAATGATTAATATAAACAGAAAACTACTAATTATTTTCATCAAAATATTAAAGAGTGAAAAATTTAAAGTAATACAAAAAAATATTTAGAAAAAAATATTAAATCTTGAATTAATTTTTGAAATTACAAAGTTACATCAAAATGAATCAAAAAAATGATAACATTTAAAATTTCATAAAAATAAACTTATGTATAAATTTGTAAATATTTTGATTTTGAATATATAAATTTGTTGTACATATTATTTTAATGTAATTTTGAAGATTTAAATTCAAAATTGATTGTAATGTTTGAGACGTGACTGCAAAATGTTGATGGTTTAAATATTCGTTAGTTATTGAAGTTACATGTTATATTGTGACAAATAACAAATTAATGAATTTGGTTATAAATTAATTTCTATCGTCAACATGTAGATACTTTGAAATTTTAAAGATTAAAAATAATTGATTTTTAACAAATGAATAAGACATTTTACTTTTTACTAAAAAAATATATTTATTTTTTGTTAAAATTTATATGTATAGATATTTTAACTATAACCATAAAATAAATAAATAGCAAGATTATAACAGCATATATACATTTTACTAAAATTATTGAAAACTTCAAATTTCTAGCTCTTAGTTACTATGAAGTTTTTGAAAACTTTTATAATACTTTCACAATCTTATATTAAAAATTTATACACTGTTTAATCTTAGAATTCAAAAAATTATTATTTTTCAAAATTGAAACTAAAAAAAGTTTTAGAATATTAAATACCTGATTGCAAGACTCTTATTTTCTGGAAACTTTTTTGAACATATAAATTTAATTTACAAATCTGGATTTGTAAACAAACTAGACTTTAATATAGTTTTCAATTTTTACTTTTTCTATTTATCAATAATTTTAAATGTATTTATTTCATAATATTTAATTTTATACTTGTTTTAAATATCAGTCATAATATTTAATAACTCTAACAACGTATGTTTCTTTATTTCACTCATGTTTTGAATGGTTTCTCCACGGATCCACTTCTTTCAAATTTTTTTTTTCAAAAATCTGATAAATTTTTTTATTGGCTCAAAAGCCTTTTAGTTTTGTCTTCAAATGTCTTTATAATTAATTTAAATATTCTAAAAAAATTTACAACTAACCCCCATTGATGTAATTGATAAATTATGTACAAATTTATGTTATTCTAATAACTCATGAAGTCATATTAACTTTATATCAGTTAAATAGCTTCACAGTCTTCTCAATCATACTACAGTAGAACCTCTACAAATTTATACTCCATAAATTTATAACCTCCGAAAATTTATCAAATTGTGAGGTCCCGGCATGGGACCAGGCCAAAAATTTATAATCTTATATGTCATGTAGTTACGAGTCGGCTCACGAAGTTCAGACACTTACTATATTTAGCCGTAAAGTTAGGGTTCCGGTCACGAGGGGTATACAGTCGGGGACGGCTCGAAGAACGTCAGTTCTTCGAGTCGAGCCTGGAAGCGTTGGGAGCGTAGAGTGACTTTCCCCTTTGCGTCGACCTGGATTCTCCGAGTGTGGAGTGGGTTGGGCTTGACTCATGTTTGTGACGGTGACGGTTTGTTGCCAGTAGGGTAATTGACCGACGGGAATTCCAGTGGGGAATTCCCGTACATTTCACTCGAAGAACTCGCTGTAAAACAGCAAAAAGAATCGTTGCTGGTGGTGTTGCAGAATTTAGCCTCTTGTCTTGGGATTAGTGATTTCAATTTTGCTTGTGAACTCCGGTAGTCTCGATTGGAGATTTGAAGTAGGTTGATCGACTGAGAGCGTTGATCTTGGGTGACGGTCTGGGGCCGTCAGTGACAGGAATACTAAGAATATTGTTGGATTTCGGTAGATAATCTTCGACGGGAAGAGGGAAAATTCAGTTTGAAGCTTCATTTCAGTACGTTCGTTCGGTTCGCGGAGTAAACGAAGTAATCTGTCACAGCAGTATTGGGGTGGCGGTAGTAGTGTTGTACGTAGTATCGCGGAAGCGAGCAAGCATATCGAGGAAAGGCAAATCAAGAAAGAAGCGATAGGCGAGGAGTGGTACAAGGCTACCCGAACAGGAGGACAGAGAAACAAACCCATTGGGCAAGAAGGGAGTTTCGTCCTTCTTTCTGCCTGTCGTACTAATTCCCTCTTCGGGAAGGGAAGAGGTCGCTGCACGGCTGGCTGGCTTCCCTTCATGTTCGGTTGTGCCCTGTAATTTGAATTGAATGCATCTGAAATTGAATTCGTTTTAAATTCGAACTCACAGTATTTGAATTCGCAGAATTCAAATTCAATTCGAATTCCCAAACTTTGAGTTCACAAAGTTCGAAATCAATTCAAAATTACAGAATTCGAAATCACAGAATTCGAATTCTGTGATCTGTGAATTCGAAAGGAGAGATTACAGGGAGTGAGAGAGAGGTTCTCTCTTCTTTGTGATCTCCCCCCGCAGGCAAGCGGGGCGTGCGTGGTGAATCGGAAGCACGGGTTGCTCGATACTTTCGAGGTAGAAAGTATAAAATCAATCACAAGGGAGGCTTCTTGTGGAGGAGACGATCGACTGAGTGAGTGATTGATAGAGTGCAACTCGTTCCAGCGGCGGATGCTTTTGGTGGAGGGGATGATCGAGTGAGTGAGCGAGTGAGTGGGCCGGTAGTTCAGCACGGGCGGAATATGGTTTGGAGGGTTTCCAGGTTCGGGAGTGACCGCAGAGCCGTGGAGTGAAACTCGGCGAGTTTTGTTCATCAAACATTGAGGAATGGAAAATTCGTGAACGACCAGTGGGCGACGCTTTGAGGTTGTTGCACGCTGAGGGGCTTTTTGCTTTCGTCGCGAGGTTTGCGGGGGAGCCTTCTCTGCATGGGGAAGCTGGATTAGATCAGACCTTTCGTTCTTTCTTTCTCTCTTTCCTTCTTTCCTTCCTTCCTTCAGGAGCGCGCGGATGTCCGGGACGTAGATAGAGGGCTTTTTCTGAGAGGGTTGAGTTCTGCTCCCTGGTCCGCGAGCGGAAGGCAGAGCATCGCAGCAGCAGCTCAGTGAAACCGATAGGCTTGATTTCATCAGGTGACTATACCTTCTTGCGATGAGGTTGATGTCTTGGGGTTGTGTCTATCCAATGAGAACGTGAAGCGCGAGACCCCAGGTGGCATGCTCGAGCGGGCCAAGATTTTGTAGATGTCGTTCGTTTTTCGAAAACTCTGGGTGATTGAGGCCCATTCGCGCACGTTCGAAGGTGGTGGTTTTGGTGGTTTTGGAACCAGGGAACAAGCCTTTGTGCTCTCTTCCTCCCCGAAGAACGCACTCATTTATAGCGCAGACAGCTTACTCGGTCTGTGTCCCTTTATCCTGTCAGGTCTTGCGGTGTACCCTTTATCAATGCACAGTGAAGCAGTTCGCTCTAGTGCAGACAAACAGACGTGATTGAAGTAGATCACAGAAGCCTCATGGTATAAATTTCGGTCTATGGGACTCCGAAATAACTATGAATGTTCCGGTGTTACTCGCAAGAGGCTCATGGGTCTAGTTTCACTTGCAGACATGGAGAGGAGAATTCTGTGGAGTTCAGCAAACAGCAAGACGAGAGTTCTGAGTTGAATTTACAAGAAGTGGGAGAGTGGAAGCAAAGCAGCCCGAGTAGTCTGTCTCTGTTCTCGCGGAGTCCTTCCATTAAGCGAAGTCATTTTTCATGGCCTCGATTTTAAATTATTCTTTCCCGTCTTGAAAATAAAAATAAAAATTCTTGTACTTCGAATCGTCGGGATTGCGTGGGGCTTGGTTTGATAAGGCGGATGATATTTTCTCGGGAAATTGGGGCCGGAGGTGGCTGTTTTGGTTCTCGCAGCGCGGGGTTGCGCAGATGTTGGTTGCAGGTCTCGTCAGCGAGATGAGCTGAGAGTCACGGAGAGATTTTCCGAAGAGCATAAATTGGGCGACGGTCTTCAGCGTTGGGAAGAGTGGATGGGTGCTCGGACGCTGGCAGCGGGTGAAGAATTTTGAACGAGGAGAACTGAAGTTGGAGGTCCACCTGCGGGAACAGCAAATTAGTGACTAAAGACTCAGAGGAGGTACTGTTAGAGGATAATTCGAAGAAGGGAAAAGAGCAGAATCTTTTGTTACCTTTGTTTCAGTATCTGCTATTGGTACCATAGGCGCCAACATTGGATACCTCCGAGCGAGTGAACACCAAGAAAGAGGGATCAGATCACCGGCACCGAATACAGAGATTACCAAATGGGGTAAATGGAGGTAACTTACCCTGGTTAGCTTGAAGTTGGTTGCCATAACTCTCTCCCTTTCCTAAAACATTTCATGGTAAAAGAATGTTTAGTGACATTGCTTTCGAATATCTACTTGGATGTTCAGCCACCTATATCCACACGAACTTAATTACATAGTGTGCTATACTTGAGCCAAAGAGGATTATGTGTGACTTAGTTGGCATAATACCATACTGAAATAGTCCAATAGCTGTAGCCTCTGTTTTTTGGAGATCTGCTAGGTGAAGTTGGCCTATGCAGGTCTTTTGATTACAATCAGATTTGTGATAAAATACAGCAGTGCTAAGTTTGCTGTAGAAAATTTCAAATTCACTAGTTCAAGTGAATTTGTTTATGCCAAGTTCTTTAAAGCTATTAAAACCTTTTAATAGTTTTATAGTTAAACAATTTTCAGTTTTCCCTTCAGATTTAGTTTACAGATTCTATGTAAAAACAAATATCCTTGTACACAGTGAAGTGTTAACTATAAAGGGAAAATGCCGCTTGGAGAAAAAGCGGATGACAGTGATATACAAGAAATCCAGACAGTGGAAGTCGTCAGTAGCGAGGAACGTGATCAGGAGCAAGAGGTGACGGTGCAGCCTCAAATAGAAGAGAATCCGGTAAACACTGTTGTGGCAGAAGAAAAAGATTCCGGGTTAGATTGGGACGAGGCACTAGCCGTAGAGAAACTTCTAGAGGAATCCGGCCTAGAGTATAGGGTATATGAGGATGAGTTACTAGACCTTCCACAGGATATTGCTGACCATTTGAGAGATGTTCAGTATATTCAAGATTGTCTTTCAGAAAAAATTCTTGTACTAGAAAAATTTCTTGATAGTCTTCCAAAGGATTGATAGCAAATACTTGTAGCGTTTAGATAGGAGTTCCTGAAGGGATCGGGAGTTTGCACCCGGTTTCACTACCTGTGACGTGATGTTTTGAAAGCATTGTAAATATATATATGACGTAGTCAATATATTAAGCTTTCAGTGTGTAGTGTGTTTGTTGAGGGGCAGTGTGACCCCTGTGTGAAGGAGAAAAAAAAAAAGAAAAAAAAGAAGTTTTCAAACAATTTTTGTTTGCAATTTGGTGGAAGAGGGCATCATAGGCACTGGAGGCCCACGTAAATGGAGGGCGATGGAGATCAAATCGGGATCGCGAAGCGATGCGATGTCCCGTGTGTGTTGTCTTGTTTTGTGCTGTGTTTCCTTTAGACTGGAGAGTCGTTGCTAGCTGGTTGCTTGTGTTTGGATCCTCTCCAGTCTTGCTTCCTGGTGCGCGCCCGTGTAGGGGTGACGCTGATTTCCGGAGTAGTTTTACTCCTGTGTGGTGGCGATAGGGGGCTGGACTTGATCACCGGCCGGTCTATCTATGTTTCTCTCACGGTGAGACTGGAGTGATGACCAGTAGACCGTGAGAGTCTTCTTGCTGTGGTGACAGGTTAGGTTGCCCATACACCTTAGCTAGTAGGGCTAGAGTAGCTCAGTGCAGCACGACATCAGAGGCGGATTGGGTTATTGGGTGGAGATCTGGCAGTGGTGCCAGTTGAAGTCTCGCCATCACGGAGCAGTCTAGTGGTCCTGTTGAGGACCGCGGGGGATTTACGCGGAGTGGGTTGAGGTATCGGCTACCTTCACCTATTTCGCCAGTTGTTGCGGAGCAGGACCAGAGTGTTGCAGACAGAGAGTCTTTGTTGGTGATATCGTCTAGTGTCCCCACCCCATTGATTTGGGACATGGACGGGATGTACGGGGCCGCGAAGGGCCCTCGACGTTATTCTGGTGCAGTGGGCACCATCGAGCTTGATGATTTTATTCAGGAGTTCGACACGTGGTGTGATATGCAGTTTCTGCGTAACCCCACGTTGTTTACACCCTTCTTTGCATGGAAGGGATTATTCCAGCATTTGGAGGGGCATCCCATGGACGATTATCATGAGTTTGGGAGAGAGTATGCTGTAGAGATTGATGCATGGAGACGGCATTGGTCTCCGAACTACTCATCCATTACCCAGGGTGGTGTGGGTACCAGTGGAGCTGCGAGTATCGGCATCAGTGGAGGTGCGAGTAGTAGCATCAGCGAGAGTACCAGTGGAGCAGTTGGCACAACTGGTACTAGTACCAGCAGCGGTACTGTTAGCATTGCCGGTGGCAGCACGAGGGGAGATGCTGGTGGCGTACCTTCGTTTAGCCCCATTCCTGAGTTCTTCCAGAGATTGAGGAAGAATTATCAAGGGGTGAAAACGGAGAAGTTGAGGAGCCTCCAAGAGTTGAGCGGAAGACTGGTGAGAGTCTTCGTGAGGCATACACTCGTATGCGACGGCTCATCTCAGTTACTCACGGTGTGACTGAGGCACAGGCTGTCCAGTACTGGTATCGGATCCTTGACAGAGAGTTGCGGAGGAGAGTGCGTGATGCTACTCTCATGAGCGACTCATCACCCACATTAGCCCATGTGTTTGCTCTTTCTAAGAAGATTGAGCTTAACATGGTGGAGGAGAGGGTGGTGACGTCTACATTTGCGAGGGACACGACCACTACCTCGCGTATCCCACATAGCCTAGCACAGTCTCGCCCCATAAGTGAGAGTCGTGGAGGTCATACACGACATCCTTCAGGTCACAGAGAGCCTAGTGCGCGGCCACCACTGCCTTCATTTTCGGGTCAGCCACAGGGACCGTCATGTTGGACATGCGGAGGTAGCCATATGAGGAAGGATTGTCCCCAGGAGCGAGAGGGACAAACTCCACAGGCTAGGCCACAGCCGGCACAGGTGACCTGTGATCATTGTCATCGACCGGGTCACCCTCGAGAGCATTGCTTTGACCTTCATCCTGAGTTGAGATCTGGAGGTAGAGGTCGTGGAGGTGATGCTCCGCGAGGCCGAGGTGGTCGAGGTGGCAGAGGTGGTAGAGGTACCGGGGCCATTGAGCGTACCGCAGCGAGTGCTACTTCTGCCACAGAGAGCGCTATGGCTGCTCGGATTGAGCAGTTGGAGCAGAGGCTTGCTGCTATGGCCGGTCTGGGGGCGAGCACTTCCACATCTTACGAGGGAGAGGATTTCTCCTATTTGGCCAGTGCAGCACAGGTTGAGGCATCAGTTGCAGTGACCAGAGGTGGTGCTCGCACTTCAGAGCCACGTGGTGCGACTGTGGAGTTGGACCCTGAGAGGGGTGAGGGTGGACGTCAGTCTAGACTTCCCCAGTCCTTTTTGTTGTCAGAGGTGGGTAGCAGTTCATCTATGAGACCTGCACCGCCTACTGACACTAGAGTGAGAACTGAGGTTCTTACATCATCTGTTGTGGGCGCAGACTTGCCATCTAGTGCAGTGATGCGGATGGCCACTTCAGTCTTGCGATCTCCATTGTTCTCAGCCACGGAGTTGATAGACTCTGGTATTGATTTGGCTCGAGTATTTCGGGTGGCAGCCACGTCGTGTGAGCGTGGGAGAGTCGCTGCTACTAGTGCCGAGATAAGTGAGGATACAGTTGAGGACCCATCCTCAACGTCTACATTGTTCAAGGAGACGACTTGGCAGGCCGCAGCGGCGAGGATGGAGTCCTTACCAGCTCGCCCAGCCATTGATCGCGAGAGTATTGTCCCTGATGTATGTATGGTGGACAACGAAGTGGTCTATTTCGGTTAGTGAGTTCTACTGGACAGGTGTATGTCCCAGCCAGAGTTTTGTTGGATTCTGGTGCACAACCCTTGATGTTGGGCAAGGCTGCATGCATTAGTTTGGGCATTCGGAGGTCAGAGTTGGAACCTTGCCCATTCCAGATCCAGACATCCCTTGGTGGTGCCAGCAATAGGTCTTACTTTATGACTAGGGAGAGCATAGCGGTGCAGTTGAGGCATGATCACCCTCATGATAGCTCGCAGTTTGGAGTTCGTGCTGTGGTTACATCAGCAGAGTCATATGATGTGCTTGTTGGTGGAGTGGTGTTATACCCGATGGGCTTCCGAATGAACTATTGGACGGAGACTGCCGCATATCGTCCTGGTTGGCAGTCCGGAGATGGACGTTTTAGCGAGCTGCCAGTGAGATTTATTTCTCGGGATCGACCTCTTGGATCTTTGTAAGCGGTCTTGGCATCTGTAGCAAGTTTTAGCGGAATGCTTACCTGGCCCGATGACTTGTTGGAGGGGAACATGTCTGCCGACGATACCTCAGTCTACGAGGATGTGGAGGAGGTTGTGAGTTTCACAGCGGCGGTGACTTCACCCTTAGATGTTCCACTGTGGAGTTCGTGCCAGGCACTGCAGTTGGAAGCTGATAGGTTGGTAAAAAAGGCTTGGAGTGAAGCCTCTTTACCAGCAGAGCCAGAGAGGGCTTCAGCTGATCGGCTAGTTGGTGGTTCTAGCGCATTGTCTTCATTGGTTACTACACCTATTGCATGGGAGTATTCCTCAGAGGGCGTTTGTTTGCTGGATCTTTTTGGTGGGTACAGCACCGGTTT